TGAGCAGAAACGTATGCAGCCCGCCACCTGTTCGGACCCAAATCACCAAACTACCCGTTGATCGCTACGGCTCCGCTGATTGGTCGCCGGTCTGGCTGCACCTGCACTCGCCCCCCAATACTACCCGATGTCTGGGGTCGCCCCAACATCAGTCTTCAGAATGTTCCGTGCTTTCGTAGCCAGCACACCTCCCAGCTAGACTCTAGAGTGTACTGAGAGAGGTGGTGGCTTTAAGCCAATATTCCAGCACCTCCCACTTACTGTTGTATTGCACTTCTTGTTATTTTGCCTTAACGTAACTTTTCATTTTGTCATTTAAGTATTCTTATTATTTTGATTCATTGATTTTATTATACATATTTGTTTGTGCATTATTTTCATGTTTTGATTTATTTAACGTAATTAAAATTTCATTGTTAAAGTTTTACTTGTGTTTTGTGTGTCTTCTCCTTACCTTACCACAGACGAAGTTCCAGTTTTCTATTTTTTTTTATAACTATGTGACGAGGCCATACCCCTAGCCTTAAACAGCCGAACACCAACGCGTTACCGTCACAATATATATATATATATATATATATATATATATATATATATACAAACTGATGAATATGTATCAAAGGTAAAAAATTAAAAATCTTTCTTTTGTGGAGATTTAAGAGAAATGAAATTACGATCTTACAAACGCTTGTATTCTGAGCCCAGAGATAAAACATTTACGCGAACGACATCAAAGGTTTCTGAAATGGTATATTAAGTCATGTTTTGTGTACCGGAGCATGAGGAAGATTAAATTAACGCTCTCTCTGCTGTCTCTGTCTCTCTCTCTCTCTCTCTCTCTCTCTCTCTCTCTCTCTCTCTCTCTCTCTCTCTCTTAAACTAAAAATACTATGCAATCAAAAGATAAAGTAAACTAGTTTAGAATTATGTTAATGTATCATGGAACCGTATTTATGTACACAAGAATGAACGACTGACGTACACGAATGGACGGCTAACGTACACGAGTAGTGGGATTTAGGACTATGCCCGACAATTTTGCCTTTTTTCCCTGCCGGGCATAGTCCTCATAAATTTTCGTTACCCCGGTGACGTTTGGTCCCCTGCCTGGCATAGTCCTAGGTAATTTTCGTTACCGCAGCGATTACTCGTCTCCAGGTCTTAGCATTCCGCTCAAGGGGATTAAAAAGCCGGTCTATGAGTCGTGTGTTTTGCGTTAGCCCAGTGACCCTGAAACCGAAGGTATAATAACGTCATTCCTGGTCTATTTTAAACCTCCTATTTACTTCCAATCTATGTTAACCAGAACACCAACTGTCGCTATTAGATGAACTTCAGTAGGTCCATTCCCAATTAATATCCCCTTTTTTCTCCATTTATACACATCCATAATGTAACTCCATTAATATTCAGAAGGTTCTATTTATTTCCCCTTACTTATCTGGAAGCTTTATATTTAATGTTCGGTCGATGATGGTTTATTGAGCATAGGCATGAATGAAATCTATTTATATGAAACAAAGGGGAGCAACACAGAGCGTGAACTAACATGTATCTTAGAGTTCACCCCTGTTAACAAACCAGTATTTACCCAGGTGTTTTTCCTACGTCTAAAACTTATCTAATTAATACCCATTGTTTCGTGTTCTGTCTCGTGTTGATACTTATAATAGACTATTAATATCCCCCCTTGTCATATTCCTGTTTAAAGTATCAAGAGTAATCTCAATTGTCAGATTACTGAGTAAATCACCATCAGTGACGTCACTAGCCGGGACTAGCCCTTGGCAGTCCCGGCTACAACATCGACCCTATACCAACTGGGGCTACAGAGTGCTGGACGGGGGGGCATCAGTTAGCGTGGTAGGATGTCCCACTCTGTTAAGTAGGGAACATGACCCGTCACTACAACAACCCCAACCCACCCAATCCCAACCTCAACCCCAGGCCACCCAATACCTACTCCAACCCCAGGCCACCCCACACCCTACCCCAACCTCTTCCCCAACCCCAGGCCACCCAATACCCACTCCAACCCCAGGCCACCCAATTCATACCCCAACCCCAAGCCACCCACACCATACCTCAACCCCAGGTCACCCAATACCTACTCCAACCCCAGGCCACCCACACTCTACCCCAACCTCTTCCCCAACCCCAGACCACCCAATACCCACTCCAACCCCAGGCCACCCAATTCATACCCGAACCCCAAGCCAACCACACCATACCTCAACCCCAGGCCACCCAATACCTACTCCAACCCCAGGCCACCCACACCCAACCCCAACCTTCTTCTCCAACCCCAGGCCACCCACACCCAACCCCAACCTTCTTTCCCAACCCCAGGCCACCCACACCCAACCCCAACCTTCTTTCCCAACCCCAGGCCACCCACACCCTACCCCAACCTTCTTCCCCAACCCCAGACCACCCCATACCTATTTCAACCCCAGGCGCCCCAACCCCAGCCTCAACCCCTATACCAACCCCAGGGGCCACCCACTTCCAGTAGCCTTGCTTCACACACGCAGGGAATTATGAGTCTGATTCCCAAGATGACTTTGCCCACACTCAGAGGTACGGAGTTGCCGTCCAACAAGGTGGAACGCAACCGCCGAGTGGAAGACTGGCTTTGGCAGATTAGTGCGATGCTGGAGGCTGTCCCAAATGATGGTCTGAAGATTACTCTCGCTATGGGGGCTTGCGTGGACGTAGCCGGTCCACTGGCGAGGTTAACAGACTTTCGGCCCCTGACGACATGGCCTCAATTTGTCCAAGCGATAAGGGACAGATATAAGGAGAAAGTGTCGGCAGATGAAGTTCAGGTTTACCTCCAGTCACTTAAACACTTTCATGCCATCTGCACTTGGATGTACGGGCGGTTTATTTAAGCGCTTGTGGGGTCACGACGTACATTTACGGTCCGTGTTATAGTGGGTATATACTACGCGATCGACTTGGGGTTTGTATGAATATGTTTGCCATTAAATTTTCGTTTTCTCTAATAGGCACAGTGCCTATTTCAGAAAACGGCATTGTATTGTAACTTAGAGGAGAGACTATTGAGTTGGTAACACAACGAGGTTAATTGCTCACTCCACACACTCTTGTGTTGGCCGCGATCATGGTTCTACATTTATATGCATATGTCTGTGTAGAGAATTTTATTGCGAGTTCAGTGATATAAAATTTAACGCTGTAGGACTAATGTGGAGCTGACAACAAACAAAAGAGTATGAACATTTTGTAGCTGTTTGGGCGTACAGCGAGACGGCAAGTGATCTACGTTTTTATTTATTTCGTGGTGGAATAGCTAATGCTTTGGTTACATTTTATACATATGATCTTGTAGAGAATTTTATTGCCAACACATTGATACCAAAAAGAAATACGTAGCTCGAGAATTGGTGTCAGGAGAGTGAAAAGATTACACACTGTTTGGTGTTTACGCTCATGAGAAAAAAACGCCGCGCACACAATGCGCAGAGTTTTTTCGCGGGTACCGGGTGCATCAGAGTGTTAAGAGGGATGCTTGCAGCACTATCAAAGATTTCGGGACATTGATAATGAGTAGGGTTGACGATCTTACCCAGGAGCTGGGGTACAATGAGAGTCAGGCAGAGCGATTAGCTAAACAGTTGTTCTGCAGAGCGTTACCTCCTGCTATGGGGCCATTTATATCTGCAGAGGGAACGTTGTTGAGCTTTAAGGATCTAGTCCAACATGCCGCCACAGTATTAGATATAGAGATGCGCACGGAGAAGACTGGGGCACAGTCGTCCCCATACGTTGAGGCGTTAAGCAAAGGCGAGGGGGAAAAGACGAATAATTGTGGCGCGGGTTCGTCAGGCGGGAAGCAGACCACAGCTGCACGTTCGAGCCACCCTGCGCGGGGTACCAACAGGGAACCGCGGACGTGTTACTCCTGCGGGAAGCGTGGACACCTACAGAGGGATTGTCCAGTTGTTAGTTCGAAAGATTGAAACAAGGCCCCTAGTGATGGTAGGCCTACTTTTGAAGTGAAAGTGGAAGGTGTAAGATTGACAGCCTTTGTTGATACTAGAAGCCAGGCAACTCTAGTTAAATAGTCAGCCTTCAGCGATTTTAAGTATGCACGTTTTAAACATAGCGCAAAGACATTAACAGCGGTCAATGGGGAAAAGATTGAGATCGTGGGTCAAGGTACAGTTAATTTTGAAATTGGTGGGGAATTGCAGCCTCACACCTGTACGATCGTAGAGAGCCTTGATTTTCCTGGTCACATCTTAATGGGGACTGATTTTCTGTCGCAATTTGATTATTCCTTGTCTGCTCTAAAAGGGGCTAGGAACTGCAGGTTGCAGTTGGGACAGACTTCCTACCCAGTGGAGATGATCGACCATCCCCCAGTCGTAGCTTCAATTAAGAGGAAGCAAAAATATAATATGCACTATCCAAAATTGATTTTTAAGTCTCTTCTAGACACCGTCAAGAGACCATGTGCATTGCATGCATTGACCAAACAGAGTTGCCCACCACATTCTGTTAAATTTATTAAAGTAGCCGTGGGACGTCACATACAACCAGGTACCACCCTTCAGGTGGCTGGGAGATGTGATAGTTTATTAATTCCTCATCATTTAATTATAGTGCTCGATAAAGGTGCATTCATCCCAGTTGTCAATCTTTTACATAAGACGTTTCGCTTCAGGGCGAGTGATAGGGTATCACCCACCCTGATACCTCCACCATGGTATCTCAGGGAACCATGGTGGAGGACACAGAAATCTTTCACCATGAGTCAGCTGAGACACCAACCGTCACTGCACAATGTAGGGCATTGAACATGACAGAAAATAAAACACCATCCAAAGTACAGTATGAGACGAGAAATGTTGCACGTAACGTAGAACAGGTAGATAAATTAATTTCAGCACTTGATTTACAACATGTTACACAGGCGGATAGGAAGCCACTGAGAGGAGTTTTGCGAAAATTCCCTAAATTGTTTGCGACAGAGGACTCCCTGCAGGAGTCTCACCCCCTGCAGGAGTCTCGCCCCCTGCAGGAGTCTCGCCCCCTGCAGGAGTCTCACCACTGCAGGAGTCTCGCCCCCTGCAGGAGTCTCATCCCCTGCAGGAGTCTCGCCCCCTGCAGGAGTCTCGCCCCCCTGCAGGAGTCTCATCCCCTGCAGGAGTCTCGCCCACTGCAGGAGTCTCGCCCCCTCCAGGAGTCTCGCCCCCCTGCAGGAGTCTCGCCCACTGCAGCAGGAGTCTCACCACTGCAGGTGTGTCTTATCATGACTGCCCAGCTAATCATTGACCTTCGTACACATACATTTTAACTGCAATAACATCTCGCATTTATTTCTACCATGATTGCCGAATTCAGAAACACATTCTACCCGAGTATATATATCCTTCTTACGAGTATATATCCCTCCTACGAGTATATAGCCCTCTTACGAGTATATATCCCTCTTACCATACATGCGCAGCACCATATCTCACATGAAGATGTTCCAGGCAGGAACGAGACGTTGTGCATATAATACATCATTTAGTTATTCTTGTTGTGTTTATTCTCCTAAGACCCAGCCGGACCATGAATTTCGGTAGCCTAATCACCCAACTTGCCATATACAGTGGAGAAGGAAGATCAACTGGGATCTTTCCTGCTTCACCAAGCTGCTTCTGATCACAGACCCTCGATGGCACAATGGTAACACACTCGTCCCTCGCTTCCTATTTGGGCTATGTTTTTATTCTGGACAGGGAAGATTGACTAGGCGTCATTTCTTAACTGTACGCCACTGTTCATCCAGCAGAGACTGGGTGCCTAGTTGTTAAACGATTTGGCGGGCTGTATTTCAGGGAAACTAGCGGATAAGGCTTACCATGAGCTATGGGTTGGGAAAGCTCTCAGCTTGTTAACAGGAGTCAGCAGTCGTTTGTTTCTAAGATAAAGCAAGGAGTGCTTAGGATCTCTGCCTCCTCCAGCTTCTTCAGTGAGGTAGATCACAGGAGCACTAATAGAATCTGTCTCTCCTAGCTTCAACACACTCATCGGAAAGGATCACTCATCGGATCACTCATCATCAAACCTACAACCCTATATAAAAAATTGTTTCGACCACGTGTCGTTTAATACTTAGTATACACTCCAATATTTCATTTATATTATTTAACTTATTTATTAATTTGGTCATAAATGTATTATTAAATCAAATGTTTTCTGACTGGCGTATCGCTTCACGCACCGCTGCACTCAATTGTTAAATAATGAATTTTCGTGATTCCATATTCACTCAAAAAGCAAAGGCTATGCAACATTAATAAATATATAAACGAAGCCTTCCAATTAAATATTGCACCACTCAAATCTATAACAAATACAGACAATCTTGTTTTGTAATTAGTAACTGAATAGCAATATGCTGTTCAGAGGGTTGTATATGTTTTCTATGTAATGTATAGGACAAAACAATCTCTCTTTTCGGTTGCAATTGCCAGTTTTTTACATTGACATTTTCTACCAATTTTCCCATTAAGCATGGTGGTTCATCTTCCTCTGATGAAACAGCCAACACAACAGAACCTGGCCCACCGATTATAATAATTTTATTCATAAGAATGGGTGTTTAAAGAACACAAGTTGAAGGGGTAACTATAGGGACGTGCGGTATGCATATAAAAAAATCACTACTCCGCCAAGCTAACATAGGTGAGAATGTTCAAGAAATATTAGAAATGATATACAATATAAAGGTGATAATGATGACAGACATAGATTAATACATTATGGAATCTGTAATTCTAGCAATAGTACAGAAGTACTTTCTTAATGTTAATAATAGCTAGAAAACGTAAAGGTGGAATTTAGTTAGAATTGGTGGTTAACGCCACCTTTTAGTAAAGGTGGCGTTAGAAGCACTGGCGTTAGAAGCGCTGGTGTTAGAAGCACTGGTGTTAGAAGCGCTGGTGTTAGAAGCATATATATCATATGTATCATATATATGTATCATATATGTTGTATCATATATATCATATATCATATATATGTTGCAACAACGGTCTCTCATACCTAAATAAAAAAATTCTGCAGATTTCGTTGAGAACCTAACCCAGGCCCCTCTGCGGTAGAAACAATACTGCCTCTTGATACTGGTAATGGCTCCAGAGGGCCACCGCTTACGGGCTATTCATACCCGTACCACCTTTTGGGTGGCTTAATCTTCATCAATCAATCAATCTCTATATAACATATCTATTTTGAATAATGATAATAATTGAAAACTAGCAACTATGTCTAGTGTCTTACGCAATAACGCCAACTCGTGCTTCAATCCTCATTATATCATGTTATTTTCCTCTCCTAACGTAACAGAACAGAGCAAAGAACAACACAGAGAACAGACAAAAGAACACAACAGAGAACAGACAAAAGAACACAACAGAGAACCAAGAACAGAAGAGAGGAAAGAACTGAGTAGAATAGAACAGACCAGAACAGAGAACATAGAACTGAGCAGGGAACTCTGATTCCATAATGATTCTGGTAATTCCATAATTCTGGTGTGGTGATAATGGGTCCTATTACATCTGTCCAGGGAGAGTTTCAGAGCAGGATTTGCATTTAAAAACAGGGTTTTGTAAATGTAGGTGACACAAGAGAATTTGTGGAGTGAGATTATGTTTAGCATGTTTAGGGAGTTAAACAAGGGGGCTGAGTGTTGTCTGAAAGCAGAATTTGTTATTCTGATGGCAGATTTTTGCTGGGTGATGGACTTGAGGTGGTTTGCACTGGTTGAACCCCATGCACAGATACCATAATTAAGATAGGGATAGATTAGTGCATAATATAGAGAGATGAGAGCAGAGTTAGGTACATAATATCTGATTTTGGAGAGTATACCAACTGTTTTAGAGACTTTCTTAGTTATGTGTTCTATGTGGGTACTGAAGTTGAGTCTCTTGTCTAGGAATAGGCCATGAAACTTTCCATCATTTTTATTGCTAATGGTTACATTGTCTATCTGAAGCTGAATTGCATTTGTAGATTTGCTTCCAAATAGGATGTAGTAGGTCTTTTCTATGTTAAGTGTTAGTTTGTTGGTTGACATCCATAAGTGGACTTTTTTTAGTTCATTATTAACAACATTATTTAGTGTATGTGGGTTGGGGTTAGAGTAGATGAGGGTAGTATCATCAGCAAACAAAATAGATTTCAGAATGTTAGACACATTAGGCAGATCATTGATGTATACAAGTGTTACGGCCCTCTCGGGACGCAACGGGGTTCTTACTCTGATGTTAGAGGAAGTTGTATCCGACCCCAAGCCAGTAGTGGCTTTCAAGGGATGTGATCCGTGACGCAAGAAACTTAAAGGGGAAGGGAAATAAAGTTAAGAACTTAAGATTATAATTATTCCCATCACCAATAAATAATATATAAAAGAGTACACAGGGGGAGGGGTATTAACACTGTACAAGGGAATTGTCTTCATACTGAAGAATCGCACAATCGTCTTCTCCTGAAGACTCTGGTTCAACTCTCTCGGTGCCGAGTCCTCGGTGCTTTCGTGGCCACACAACGAATCCTCTAAGAAGTTGAGTCTACCCTGGCCACAGGTCAGCCAAAACACAGGTCCACTGGGGGCACCGCCGTGGAGGCCGTCAACCACACGTCCAGCTGGTCTGCTGGCAGGTTCCGGATCAGCAAGGCTGGTCAGGCCACTCCACGAATGATATAAGGGGAACGCCCTAGACAGGAGCCTCGTGTGACACCACAAATCACTCTCCTGTCCTCAGTACCCCAGTGGATGATCGTCTCCAACAGTCGGTCCCGGGTAATCCTTCTTCTGCCACTCCACTGGCAGGGTAACACACCACAGTGTTCTTCCGGGGAGACGACTTCACAACTGCTGCAGCAAAGCACAAGGTATGGAGACGGCTGCCTTGGGTAGACTGACTCAACTTCCAACACAGCAGTCCCAGGTCGACTCTAAGCAGACACGTCATCAATAACAGGGACACTAAAACACCTCACTTACAGGCTCAGATACAAACGCCCACCTATCCACTCCATAGATGGCGCTGGTGTCTGAGCAGCACCTCACCAGAGGTCAGCAGCGGCTGTGTTGTGAGCTGCACGGGACTGGAAACTGGCCCTTGTGGCCGGTATTCGCCGTCCTCACCAGGTGTCGTCGTCCGTTTGGCGGGGGTTTCGGGAGCTGACCCACAGATGGCGCGGTCGTCACTGCTCCGTGCTCGGACGTCGGATCCGGGTTCGTAACAATAAGAAATAAGAGAAGTCCCAAAATGCTGCCCTGTGGCACTCCAACGGTTATTGGTAGAGTGGGAGAGGTTATATTATTGATGGCTACACATTGGTATCTATCACTAAGATAGGATTGGATATAGTCCAGTGTATGGCCTCGGATTCCATAATGATGGAGTTTACGTAAGAGGTAATTGTGATTAACAGTATCAAAGGCCTTTCTCAGGTCAATGAAGAGTCCAATCGGAAACTCATTTTTGTCAAGGGCTGAGTAAATCATATCAAGGAGACTAATAGTTGCATCTGGCAGGGGCTATTATAAAAGTATCCCCAAGAAAATCGGACAGAAAATGGAATTTATACAAATATTTTTTCTCGTGACCGTGTCCCTTATGCGGAAACGTGATAACAAATTTTGACGCGCTCACTCGCCACCACTGCGCGAAAGTGTTTATTAATGCCCGAATGCCCTTGCCTGAAACGCTATGTGTACTAGTGGCTTTAGGTATTGTATGTACTAGCTCTATAATTAAATCCAACATTATGTTTGTAACTCATCTTCAATGCATGTACTTTTACCTGAATAAAAAATCAAATTGAATAAAAAAAGGTAAATATATGTGGAACCGAAACGCTCTGCGTATTATAGTGACTATTTATTGTACTTCTCTTACCTGTGAATTCTCCGCTGGTCATGTATCATATATATGTACTCTTGCATGAATATAATAATATTATTATTATTATTTTAGGATAACAAAATACAGGTCTTAATTAAAATAACCTATAATTGCAACACGTTTAATATATGAATTATTTTGCAACTATAGTATTGACGGTAGTATTGCATATGTACACTTGGAATTTGGTATAATGTGTCACCGGCTTCCTATCCTCGTAAAGGCCACTAGAAAGATAGTGGGCCTTAGGTAAATTCGGGTAAAATATTGAGGTGGTGTAGGAGGGTGTGTGGAAGGGCCGGCAGGCGGCGCCCGCGTCGACCCGTCGTGGCCAGTGTGGTCTGGAAGCTTCCCCTGACGCGCCCGCCCGACCGTCCTTTCTCTCACCCACCTCTACTCTACCGGCACACAAGCATTAGCAGGGAGCCAGGCAGCAAGAGGTAAGGTAGTGGAGGCAGGGTAAAGGAAGAGAGGCGAGGCAGGAGGACGGTGGTGAGGTGAGGAACATGGTGAGGCCTGGTCGATGCCTCGCCTCCAGGAAACATTGTCTACCACCTCACCATCTTCCTCCACCGGCACCTCGTGTGGCTCTTGCTAGTGTTGTGAGGTGTGTATTGTGTGTCTTGAGCGTGTGTAAGTGGGTGTAGGTGACCAGGAGCACCAGATCCTTTGTAACGTAGCCCCCCCCCCTCCCCTCCCCACCACACCACACCGCTTCTCTTCTCTCGCACCTCAATATTTTACCCGAATTTACTAGATATGTTTACTATATTTTTTATATTAGATATATTTTACTATTTTTTATATATTTTATAACATTATAATATATTAGATATATTTTACTAGAAAATGGTGATGGCTAACCCATCACCATTTTCACTTTTTTTTATTTATTTTTTGTTTTGGTAACATTTATACTCTGGACCATTTGTCTGATAGTATTTGATCCATTGTGCCACTGTAGTAGTGTAGAGCGTGGATGTGTTAACTTGGTATAGATGTGCGAGGATGCTTTAAAACTGTGTTCACATTAATACAAGAAGGTAACTTGCAAGAACTCTCAACAAACACATCTGTGGGGATATAAATCTGGCAATAGCCAAGTGCAGTACTGTCAGTACTAAGGATAAGGGACATGGGAAGCTTTAAACTATCAAAGGAAATTGCAGAAAGATTATTATGCCTATTCAAACTCACTTGGACATACATGTATTTAACCTCTGCTTGAATCATCTAGAGTTCCAATACCTATCGTATTAACCAGCAATTTGTTCCTAAATGAACAACCCTATTTCCAACCCAATATTATTGCTCTCTTGCCCGAAACGCTATGCGTGCTAGTGGCTTTACAAGAATGTTAATTCAACTTATTTTCTATATTCTCTGTTAACCCCCAATGTAACTTCTTATATATAAATAAATAAAGATAAAATTATTTTTTTATTTTATTTTTTTAAACATTGGGCAAGCAATATAGACTAGGTACTGTATATTTCCCTCATCAATCTAAGTACATCAATAATTTTCTCACTTGTTCTTAGCCTATCTAGACAGCATAAAGTATGCTTAATCTTTCCGTATTGGTAGTAGCTAATTCATGGGATCAATTTGACCATCCTACTCTGCACACTCGTGTGAACTTCTATCCATTCTAAAGTACACTGCCCTATATGCCTTGATATTAAATGAGGCCCAATGAGGGCAAGATGAAGCTGAAGAATAAAAATGTGTCTTAACACTGACACACAAATATTAATAGAGTTCCCGTATAAATTAACCAGTCTATTAACTATTTAAAATATTTCTATAATGATATTTTGGCTTGAAATGCCTAATCATTACCGATATTTTTTTGCATTTACATTTGGCAATTTCAGTATTTATATGCAGTTACTCGATTGCAGCCTAGTCTTAGAACGCCTGGATTTGTCAATATTAAATGGCAGCTACCATGCTTTCATCCACTTTAACCACTGTACTGCGCAGAGCACTTTGTGGCGCTAGATCGAGGGTGCACAGAGCTCCATGTGTCATTTTTAGGTATAGGGAGTGATTTAAAACTCCTGCGAGTACTCAGTCCTTACGTCCTGTGTCTCAGGATTCCTGTAAACAGATGCCATTTAAAAAAAATATAGTGGGTAACATTCCCGGGTGTGAGCACATCAGTACTAAGTGCAGGTGCGTTGCGCAGTTAAAGAGTTAAACATAATACTGTACAGGGTACAAAAAACAATCAAATGTGCCCATAGTAGGAAACAAGCATGTAAAGGATTTGGGAATAATGATGTCTGATGACCTAACATTTAGGGAGCATAACCAAGCAAATATTGCGTCATTCAGAAAAATGATCGGATGGATTACGAGAACTTTCAAATCCAGGGACACCATCACAATGGTTGTACTCTTCAATTGTCCTTGTATTGCTCAGTACTCACTTCCCCCTTCAGAGCAGGAGAGGTTGTTGAAGAAGAGGGAATACAGAGAACATAGACACGATAGAACACCTAAATTATTGGGATCGTCTCAAAGCCCTCCAAATTTACTCACTAGAAAGGAGAGAGAGAGAGAGAGATCAAATGATATACACGTGGAAGATACTGGCAGGAGGGCCAAGTACCAAATCTACACAGTAAAATAACAACGTACTGGAGTGAACGATATGGAAGAAAATGCAGAATAGAACCATTGAAGAGCAGGGGTGCCATAGGCACAATCAGAGAACACTGTATAAACATCAGAGGTCCACGGTTGTTCAACACCTTCCCAGCGAGCATAAGGAATATTGCCGGAACAACCGTGGACATCTTCAGAGGAAACTAGATTGTTTCCTCCAAGGAGTGCCGGACCAACCGGGCTGTGGTGGGTTTGTGGGCTGCTTCAAGCAACAGCCTAGTGGATCAAACTCACTTTAAGCTTAGCCTCTGGCCGGGCTTGGGAAGTAGAACTCCCAGAACCCCATCAACCAGGTATAACCGTCTACGCCATGCCCTCGTGCTTTCATCCAGACTCGATTGTTTCTGTGGAACGTAGATTGTAGCAAATTTCGTTTTCAGATATTCCATCAATGCTTGAATTTTTAACAACCTGTCTTTACTGTTTATGGGCATGGAATTGTTATTATACGAGTGAAAAAACTTTGTAATATGCTGAAACTGTTTCGACGACATGAAAGTATTGAAGAAACGGGCGTGCCAAAGCCTGCTTGTCTGCCAGTACATTCTCATGGTTGGTAGCCTGGAAACCCCCATCAACATGCACAGACCTATATATCTGGCCATTTCCTTGACAGTGACTGGCACCCACATCCTCCTTACGCTCTCGGTAGCATGCTGCATTATTTGTGTGGCATACAGGTTAGTTTCATAGGTAAAATATTCAATGAGCGTTAGTCAGAAATAGTTGAATAAATTGCAATGCAGTGATGGGTGGCGGAATGGTTAGGCCTGGTGTTGCAGTGAAATCATCGACAATTGGTGGATTGTTGTCGGTGGACCAGGCACTAGCCGGATCTGGCTGTGTGGTGTGTTCAGGACCTGTACAATTTTGGGTACGAGGTGGCGGGGCAATTGGTTCACTATCCTCACTGTCGTCACTTTCCTCACTCGTAGAAACATCGTAATTACCTGTTTCAGAATCTAAGTTATCACTATTGGAGTCACTCTCTTCTTCTTCACCTTCAACATCAGACGCAATATCGGATAACTCATCACATAACCCAGGTATCTTTGAGGGTGTAAGCTTCACTTGATTGTACTTTTTATACAACATACTTATCTTGTCCTTTTTGTATGAATCCTTCGCTTTTATTGGCATAGAACTACTTGGCCCTTGACCAGGATCCATCGTGGAATGTATAGAGAGGTTGGAGAACACACGAGAAGAGGTATAAATGCACAAAACTGCACGCGTTGTGGACGCGAGGCGAGAGCAGTCAGGTCACGAGGGATGTCAACAACACACGAGGTCGACACCGTGTGCCGACAGCCCATGAGGCCGATAGGCTTTAAAGGAGAACGGGAATTTTATGGCGCTCATTTTGAAACTATCCCAAAGTCGATTGGATAAAAAATTAATTTTATACAAATTTTTGTGTGGATGCGAGTCGTGTCGTAAGCTAGGACTCGAGAGAGAAAAAATTGGACGCGAGCCATGTCCAAAGAGAGCGATAGTATGCGAGATGTGAGAAGATGGTATATGCCAAAACCGTCAGTGGTTTCAAAGCATCATGACAGTACTGGGAGGATGGGACACCATGAGCATAGCTCGCATCCTGTAACTACACCTACGTAATTAAACTTTACTAATAACACTATAGCACTGGAGGAGTGAGGGAGGGGGCATATGACACTCCATATAACAAAAACTGCTTTTCTGTAAATACAGTATAAAGGCGAGTGGTAAATCACAGTTGCCGATGATTGAAATTTGAATTTTCCAAGACATAAGTTACAATGTAAATGCATGCTCTCATTTCAATTCTTCTTGGAAACTAATAAGAATCCTATTAAATGTTAAAACTCTTCCTTTCTAGACTACAGGATGGTTAAGGAAACAGGATATTATGATGTGCTTGGGGTTAAACCCACAGCTACTGCAGATGAACTGAAAAAAGCATACCGAAAGCTCGCTCTGAAGTACCATCCTGATAAAAACCCAAATGAGGGTGAGAAGGTAAGCAAACGTTTAAACATTTGCAAGTTTTTGTGGTTTTGTTAGTTTTATATCATTGCCCACAGCATTTTATATCATTTATTAGTTTTATATCATTGCCCATAGCATCCGCGATTCGTTTTCTTCGCCTATAGAGGGAACGACGTTCCCATTCCAATCTGTATCTCTTCCTCTTTTTTTCTTAGGTGTATGCAGTTTGAACATATTTCTAGTGCTTCTGAGCTTATTTTTTCCAGGCACTGGTTCAGGTTTGTATTTTCTAGCAGTTCTTCCCAGTTTATTTCTGTGAAGTCCTGGTTTATTTGCTCCCAGTTTATCTGTGTATTATTGAAGTTGAATTTGCTGAAATCTCCTCCACTGGGAATTGGGACTGGTTTTGAAGGTCTATTCCCCATGCATGTCAGAACTTCAATTAAGTTGTGATCTGAGTAACAGGTATTTGTAATCATTGTTCCTGATCAATTCATCATTGTTGGTGAAAATGAGGTCCAGAGTGTTCTCCTTCCTAGTTGGTTCTACTATTTGCTAGTTTAAGGCAAACCTGTCGCACATCCATAGCAGGTCATTTGCACGTGCCTGTTCATTTAGGCTACTTCCTGGTATTCTTTGATATTACTGTATTAGCCAGGTGCTTCCATCTCAGGTGCCGTAGGTTGAAGTCCTCAAGCAGGATGATGATCGGAGCTGGATTTGTGAGGTTTTCCAAGCAGTGTTCTATTTTCATTAGTTGGTCTTTAAACTGCTGAGGGTTTGCCTCCGGTGACTTATATACAAGGACAATAGCTACATTTAGGATCTCTATTTTGATTATCAGCATTTCCACCATATCATTTGAGGTGTTTAGCAGCTCAGTATAGATGTGTGTGTCTGATTTACAGGCTGACACCCTCCCCCCCCCTCCCCCCACCCTTTTATCCGGTGTTTCCTATCACATCTGAAAAAAATTGTACTCTGAGATCCATATTTCACCATGGTAGTCCTGTGTGTGAATTTCCGTTAGGGCTGCAAACACTGCATTTGCCTCATATAGGAGACCATCTATAAAATAAACTTTGTTGGATTTGTGTGTTTTTATACCATGGATGTTGGCAAATATAAATGATGTTATAGTGTTAGTGGAAGTGCTGGATGCTTTCCTTGGTGTTAATATCTTTGGCTCTGGTAGGGAGGCCACTGTGTTTGCGTCCTCTAGCATTTGATCTAGATGATGGTAGAGTCTGGTCATTTTTAGCCATTCTCCTTTTTCTCTCTTGCTAAAAAATCATCCCAGTTGATGGAGTTGTGGCTTTTTTCATAGTGGCGGTCTCTCGGTTTTATTTGCCTGGTACCTCTATGAAAAGCTGGACATTCAGCATTGAAGCACTTTCCTGTCTAAAGAGTTCCTGCAAACTTCTGGGTGAAATAATTTGCAGCTTTTGGTACATTTACCTGTACTGAGGAGGTTTCTGCACTTTCTAGGGTGATCGTACTTACATGTTCCATTTGTTCTTCCCGATATCCCATGCTTACAGGTACTTACATTTGTAATACCAACAGATTTTGGGTCCCCCCCCCCCCTTTTTTTTTTTTTCCCCTTTGCCAGGGACCGCACTCTGCTGCGGCGCCCCCGACACTGTGCTCTGCTCTGGTGCCATCGACACCGCGCTCTGCTCCGGTGCCCGCGACACCCCACTCTGCTGTGGCGTCCCCAACTCCGCGCTCTGCACCGCGTCTGGTTGTACCTTGGTGTCATGTACAGTTTGTTTGAAGACATTAGAAATTGCTATGCAGGCATTTATTAGTGATTCTATGTTTTCAGCAGGAGTTTTATCCAGGATTTCGATCATCTTCAAAAAAGTTACATCATCCTTTTTGCAGAGCCAGTACACAGAGTGCTCACTGAGACCATTTCTCCTTGGATTATTAGTCATGTTGGCACATTTTTTGTGTGTGGCTGCTGAACAGAGTTGGCATTGAAAGCTCTGTTGGTAATCTACCTTCATGTTGCATTCTATGCACAGGTTTTATGCACAGAGTTGGCATTGAAAGCTCTGTTGGTAATCTACCTTCATGTTGCATTCTATGCACGTTTTTATCAAAGACATTTTTGTTGAACACTTATGTTCAATGGTGGTGGGGCTTACAAGGTGGGGTGTTGACCGTTGGGGGTTGACCGTGGGTGTTTACCAACTTGGGACAGGCCTGGAGGAGGCTGTATGGATGTGCAGTGTTGCTACCATGTGTCACACTCTCTCACACCCTATGATGTGTGTTATTTACTCATTCTCACCTTGGAAAATACGTTATGAACATTTTGATGCATTTTTTCTTTACTGGTTTCTTCACTTAATTATTTTCTCATGCTTCCCTCCTCATCCTATGAAAGTAGGAAATGTAGTTTATAGCACTATGAAATTGTCTTGTATATTGATTTAATTTTTTTCCCCCAAATAGTTTAAGCTCATCTCTCAAGCATACGAAGTGTTGAGCAATGAGGAGAAGAGAAAAATTTATGACCAGGGAGGTGAGCAGGCACTTAAGGAAGGGGGCTCTGGAGGTGGGTCCTTCACTTCACCAATGGACATTTTCGACATGTTCTTCGGAGGCGGCATGAGACGAGGCCGTGAAAAGAAGTAAATATTCTACTGCTTTATATATTTGTTGTTTTACTTGTATTTTTTTAATGTAGTTTACTAGGGTATTGACATCAACAGTTGGCCAATTGTTTGGTACAAGTAAATATATGCAATAGCCTTTCAGGATAACTTTTACTTAACCCTTGTGCAACCCTTCCTCCGAATAGACAGTTCTTTTTAATACTAAATGTAATAAGTATATTTCTGACTGTCTGCATAGTACATAAATAAACTTAATTGTGCCCTTACATATACCTCCCCATATATTTCCTAATTTTGTGTTGATACTCAAAAATTTTAGGTTGAAGTTTGTGTTCAATTCTATATACACAAGTTTTAAATATAAAGAATTTATTTTTCAGTTTTATTTAACAATATAGATTTTATACAAATTTGAAAATATCCTGAGTTTATAATTGAAAGATTTTAGTTTTGTTTTATTAGTTTTATAAAATTGTAATACCAAAATAGCTATAGGTTAGGTACTAATTGTAATTAAGAAGCAATAAATGCTATGTACATGCTTGTCCCAAGGTCGTCTGTGGTCGTGGTTTTCTCAACCCATCCTCCGAATTGACAGTACGGTTTAATACTAAGTGTAATAAGTACATTTCCTAACTGTCATACATAGTACATAATTGCACTTATGGGGCTGTTACATTTACCTCCCCATTTATTCTCCTCGTTTTCTATTACGACACTCAGAATTTTAGGATGAAGTGCTATACACAAGTTTTTAAATAATAGGAATTTCTTTTTCAGTTTTATTAAATAATAGAGATCTTATACAAAATTTGAAAATAATCAGAGTTACTTTATAATTTATTGATTTACTGGAGTATTTTAGTTTTGTTTTATTTTTTTATAAAACTAATATCAGTATAGCTATAGGTTAAGTACTAATTGTAATTAAGAAGCAATAAAATTCTTATCTTCAAAAACTAAGGTGGTTAGGTTAGGTCGTGGTCAATATATATGACTACGGTTTAATACTAAGTGAAAATAAGTACAGTGTGGTGAATGAAATATACAGTGTGGGTTGCAAACAAGTGCAATGCAGTTGACATAGGTTTCACAAAGATATGTGAACAGGCTCGGAACTGAACCTACAAACACCAGACATGATGATTCATAGTGTCAATATAATTTACCGATAAAGTAGGCAAAGGCAGATTGTACTGAGGGAAATGTTTTTGAGTACTTGAGTATACTACTTGAGTATAGAAGTAGCGAGCACATGGCAAAACCTGAAGGAAGGTGTAGACTTAGCTTACTAATCCAAAATTTCTAGTGTACACTAGAAGATACCCTCATCATCTACAAGTTTGTTAGTGTAGGGTTGCATGGCAATCCATCCAGCAAGATGCCAATATTGGATGAATATATATAGCTTTTTGCCTCTACTCTGCACTACTCAATTGGATTAGGGTAGCAGCATGGTGCTATGTACCTAAGTTAGACTAGATATATATAACAGGTATGTATGCAATTGAGTATGGGTTGAAGCAGGTGCATAAAAGTGAAGAGGCAGGCCTGAAGATGTCCTGTAATCTTTCCTACCAGCAGATTTTATTTATAGACAAGAAAGCACATCCAACATGCATTCGACTCTAACCACCTCATCACCCATGTATATAGTACATCATCCACACCCAAAAAACCTCCATGTACCTACCTGCCCCTACCACCTATATATTTTGCCCACTCATTCCCTATCCTTTTTTATTCATATTTTGAAATCAAATTATGCAGGAAACATTTACATTTTGAACTATGGGTTTATAGAAATGCCCAACATAGGAACCATGAATACCTTCATTAATGTTTTGATATCTTGTGTGTGTATATATATATATATATATATATATATATATATATATATATATATATATATATATATATATATATATATATATATATATATATATATATATATATATATATATATATATATATATATAATATATATGTCGTACCTAGTAGCCAGAATGCACTTCTCAGCCTACTATGCAAGGCCCAATTTGCCTAATAAGCCAAGTTTTCATGAATTAATGTTTTTTCGGCAACCTAACCTATAAAGATAGGTTAGGTTAGGTAGGGTTGGTTAGGTTCGGTCATTTTAGGTTCTAAGTTAATTTTAACTCCAATAAAAAAAATTGACCTCAAACATAATGAAATGGGTAGCTTTATCATTTCATAAGAAAAAAATTAGAGAAAATATATTAATTCAGGAAAACTTGGCTTATTAGGCAAATTGGGCCTTGCATAGTAGGCTGAGAAGTGCATTCTGGCTACTAGGTACGACATATATATATATATATATGTTGGACAAGTTTTGATTGTATTATAAAACTCGTTTTCTGTTACCCAGGGTGAAGGATGTAGTCCATCAAATGAATGTGACCTTGGAGGAGCTGTATAATGGTGCTGTTAGAAAGCTGGCTCTCCAGAAACATGTAATCTGCAACAAATGTGACGGTCAGGGAGGCAAGAAGCCCCCAGAGAAGTGTCCCAGTTGTAGAGGGACAGGCATGCAGGTATGGTTTGTTTGGCTTCGCTACTCTCGTATACATTATTTGCCTAGATAACCAAGTCATTCTCCCTCCAAAAAGGTAGTTTGCATTGCATCATGTGATTTAATTTCCTTTAATTTTGATAATGTTGAGTTAATGTTGGAATTGCTGTATGGTCACATTAATAGCTTTTTAACCCTTTGGCAGTTTGTTATCCTCTGCACATTACTGACTGTAAACCTTGCAGGCCTTGCTCAGAAATGCATGAAATGTTTAAAACATTTTGCATTTTCTAAGTTATTTATCTCGAGTTAAAAATAATAATTCAATAATGTGTTTCAGTTGATTAGTTTACCTGGTATACTCCATTACAACCATAGGGAGTAGTGAAAAGCTATAATATTCAATGGTGTTGGGCTCTTGGTGATGACACATGGCCTAATTGACACCATATGGACGTGTAGATTGAAAGAAAGGCGTAAACTACCAATTTGACACACGTGATGACAGGCTCCTCCTCCTACATGTAATCATGAAATGGTAGCAGCATTTCTTTCATGGTCAAGGTAGACTTCATTACATTCGCAGAGAGCTATTATATCCATATATGCATCATACATGTGAAATCTAGACTGTAATTTGATTAAATTGTCATGTGGCGATGGTGGCATTCCCCTAGTAATATTCACGATAACCACATTCGCCTTGTACACATAACCATGAAATAGTACCAGGATTTTTTCGTGGGTCAGGATAAACTCCATTACATCCACATAGAGCTATTATATCCATATTCGCTTCATGCATGTAAAACCCCTGACAATAATTTAAATCGTCATATGACGATAACTGCATTACCCATGAATCGGCAAATTAGTATAACTGCATTCTAAGGAATAGGTATGTCTTTATCCTAAATGAATAGCATAGTGATGAGGAATGTGCATCCATGTGGTTGTACTGGAACATATTTACAAAACAGGAGAATCATGTCTATTGGATGTGGATATAGTATATCCATATTTCATTTAACAGGGCCATATTTCATATAACAGGTATTGTTAATATTGAGTTTTGCAAGATTTAATATTTTTTGCATTGAATGGTAGAGAGACACACACCAATGCATAATGTTTACATTAAACAAATTTTTTTAAGGATTTACCAAACCAAATTTAGCATATCAAATTGATGAAAATCTATTTCATTTTCCAAAGTGACTAATACTGTATTATTTGTTTAAAAATAGTTTTTTGAGTTTATAATTAGTTCAAATTGGAAATCCCCATTCTGAGTAATTGTATCATTTTCTGGTAATGGGATAAAATTTTGTTTGATAGAATTAGCTGAAAATGGATGGAAATTTTGCTGCTAATCAGATTATTTTAGTTCATACAAATGTCAAATTGAAGTAATGTGATTGGTTATTTACATACTTAATAATTTTATTAATTCTTAGGTGCGAATCCAGCAACTTGGACCGGGTATGGTGTCCCAAGTTCAGAGCATGTGTGGCGAGTGCAGAGGTCAAGGAGAACGTATTAATCCCAGAGACAGATGTAAAAACTGTGAAGGCAAAAAGGTGAGATTTCCGATGTGTGGGTGTCCAAGTTGACAGGTGACAAATTCAATGTTAAACTGAAAGGTATATCTGTGAGCTCTGCTCACGGATACTGTATAAGTACTTATGGATTTATATAAAATGATTTTAGCTAAGCAGCTTTTTCTGACTTTATATTTCAGGTTGTTAAAGACAGGAAAATTCTTGAGGTACATGTTGACAAGGGTATGGAAGATGGTCAGAAGGTGGTGTTCTCTGGAGAAGGAGACCAGGAGCCAGGATTGGAACCTGGTGACATAATCATTGTGTTGGATGAGAAAGAACATGCAGTTTTTAGGCAAGTAATGTTTCTAGTAATCCCTCTTTGTCTATTAAATATAGTAATTAGGGCAGTGGATTATTAAATTTGTAGCAAATTAATTGGGTATTTTGCATTTAATTCCGTTTTTCCGATATAATTCCGAGTGAGGTTTACTGCTTGTTCTAAGCAATGATTATGCAGTTGTAGTAACTTGTATTTTATGTTTGTTAGTGTTAGAATTACCATTGTTACATATAACATTATAGCTATTGAATTCTGTTCCTGGTAAAACTTTGATGTTACTTGCCACGTAGAATTTCTAAAGTAAGTTTGTTTCTTCCCTGCAGACGGGTAAACAACGACCTGACCATGCAGATGCACATATCCTTAGTGGAAGCTTTGTGTGGCTTCCAGAAACCAATAAAAACGTTAGATGATAGAACTATCGTAATAAGCACTATTCCTGGTAAGTTGGAGTTATATTTGGGTTAGATGTTGTATTTCAGTCAAAAGTGAGCCAAGGTGCATGTTTCCTATCTTGGGGAGTTTGTTTTTTAGTGATGCATATATTTAAATATTTAACTTAGAAAAAAAATCAAATTGACCAGGTCAGTCTACCTGGATTCATTTATAGGTTATGTAAGGTAATGAAAGGGTGAAAAAATATAACTTGATTATAAGTGTATTTTTTTTAAAGGAGCCAACATAAATTTCTTGACAAAATTGTTTCTATATAGTACAGTACAGAATTTTAACAAATATTTTAAAAATTTGGACCAGAAAAGTTTTTATAATCTTTCCAGTGTTCTGTCATAAATTTTCATGTTACATCTTTCATTTTGGTATCAAATTGTGCGCACTCTAAAAGCGCTCGTTTTAAAACCACTCCCAGATTGATTGGATAAAATTTAAATTAAAAAAATAAATAAAAATGTGGATGCTGCTCGCGTCACCTACTCTGACTCGAGAGAAAAATTGTAGATGCCAGCGGTGTTGGAAGGATCCAAAAGTGTTAAAACACCGGTTTTAGAAATGATTTATTAATCTGAAACTTTCAAAGTCATGGGTCACTGAACTATGATGACACAAATTAGTGAGGTTTACAGTACAGTATTCCCTATCTGTTCATCCTCACTCATCTTGTTTTATCTATAAAAAAATGTATATAAGAGGATTTCAACATATTAGCTAGTTATTCATGCTTCAGTCTTTAAATTAAGCTACAAAGATACATGTGCCACAAATCGGTGAACGAAAATCATGGAAACACATTTGTTTGGGCCATTCTGGCTGGTGTTTGGTTCATATGATTCACTTGTGTGATCTACTTTTGTGATCCAACTTGTCATATGAAGGAATTATTAGTTGTAACCTATGATAGAATAGAAAAGTTTTCCATCATTCTGTGAACTGTCCCAACATCGTAAGCAAATCCACACATCCCCCACTTTGGCGAACCAGAGTACACCGAACCGGGTGAGTAAATCTGGCCTGAAAAGTGTGCGACCTAGCTGGAGATTCACCGGATCGAGGTACGTCGAATCTAGATTACATTGTACTGGCAAAGTACTGAGATGGATCTTCAACTTCGTAACAAACAGAATGCAGAGTGTAATAGTCAACACAGTAAAATCCGGATCATTACTGTGAAAAGCTCAGTCCCCCAAGGTACCGTACTTGTTCCGGTACTTATTCTCATCCTAACATCAGACATAGACAAAGATACAAACTACAGCACTATCATCATTTGCAAATGACACTAGTATTTTCATGCGAATAGACAACACAGAGGACACGGCAGACCTCCAATTAGATGTAAACCGGGTCTTTCAATGGACCACAGATATGATTAGTAATAATAAGTTCCAGCTCCTGCGCCATGGAAAATCATGAAAATTTAAAAACGGAAACCACATATAAAGCGAAATCAAATCACACTGTAGAATGAAAAAGTAATGTAAAGGATCTTGGAGTAATCATGTCAGAAGACCTTACCTTTACAGAACACTATAAAGTAGTTGTCACGACTGCAAGAAAAATGACAGGTTGGGTAGCAAGGACCTTCCAAACAAGGGATGCCACACACAGGCTGGATAACAAGGACCTTCCAAACAAGGGATGCCACACACAGGTTGGGTAACGTGGACCTTCTAAACGAGGGATACCATACCAATGATACTTTTTAAGACACTAGTGCTTTCCGGCAAATAAATCCGATATGAAAAGTTGGCATCCTAGCTGGAGATTTGCCGAACCGAGTTTTGCTGATTCGGGGGTGCATTGTATGTGAAAGTGTACAGTAATCTTAATGTATTTTATAATAATTAATACTAATAATAATAATAATAATAATAATTATTATTATTTAATGTTCTGGGATTGCACGAAGTGTCACTCAACCTTAGAAATCAGGAGTGGTGGCTCTTATATAAAACAAATTCTTCATTCACACAAGGAGAATTATGGTCCCATTCAAGGAGCAGCCAGCACAGTGGGGGTGGCACACACTTCAAACAAAAATTATAAAGGCACAGAGAAGGGCACCCCACATGCAGCTCGAAGTAATGGTTACAAAAGTTCACACAAGTGAGGCTTGTAAACACGTGCATGTGAAGCAAACACAAGCAAATTCTTCCCCCCCCCCCCCCTCTTTTCCAACACAGGGCATCTCAAAGATGGCCAATACTTCGTCTAGAAGTAGTCTGAATCTGAAGGCTGGTGTTCAAACTGTTGGGACATAAAATGATGGGCTGAAGAATGTTGATCTAACTACTGTGTGGGTTGAAGAGTTGTTTACTGCTTCATTTCTTTACTGTGAACCTTACAGTTGTCTGTTTTGCTTTGCTGATTTCCAGGATGTTCAGTGTGGGGTGATGATCTTCATTATGTGTGTGTGGCTCTATCTTGGCTACAAAGGTTCACCATTCAACCCCTACAGAAAAAACTTAAATTTGCATTCTCTAGAGGTGTAGAAAAAGGAAAAACATTATTGATTTATACAAATGGATAATTTTATTAGTGGAGAGAGAGAGATTTAAAGTATAAATTTAAGTGGATTTTGTATTTTGGATACAAAAAGAGCTGCCTGGCATGTGCCAAGAGGCTGCATTAGGTATTTTATGCTTAAGTTTAAATGGTCTATATTTAAATATCCAATATTGTTACTTTCCTAATATACAGGACAAGTTGTTCTGTTATCCTTGTAAAAATATAGCCTTACATTAATGTACTTTTCATTTTTTTTCAACAGGTGAGGTAGTGAAGAATGGAGAAATAAAAGCAGTATTAGGTGAAGGTATGCCACAGTACAAGAATCCCTTCGAGAAGGGAAGATTGCTCTTGCAGTTTTTGGTGGACTTCCCCACACACATCCCACTTGATCGTATTTCTAGGCTTGAAAAGATTCTACCTGCAAGGTAAGAAGTTTTTATTTAGGACTTGATTCTACTTACTTGGTTTAGTTGCAGCCTTTCATATCCTGTCTTCACAATGTTTCACATTAAATTTGGATGAAAGTTTTTTTTTTATACTATTTTAACTTAAATATGTATGGACTAATATAGTTGGAACATTTTTTGATTGGAACTTGATTCCAAAGCTTGCTCCTCTCCTTTTCTGCTTAATCATCAAACAAGTCACAGAAGTCCTGTCCAGCGAGCTTAACATCTGGTTCTTGGATGATGGTACCCTAGCAGGTTACCAAGACTCCCTCCTGGAGGACATCAGATAAATCCAGGAGCAAGGGGCAATTATAGGCCTAACTCTGAATTCTTCTACGTGTGAAATATGTTCCAACCAGGGCATCATAGAGAGAATAGTGTGCGTTCTGCCAAATATCCATATAACTAAACCTGAAGACAGCACACTCCTAGGAGAACCCCCTGGGGTTGAAAGCTATTGATGAGGTCCTTGATAAGAAAATTGCCGACCTTAACACACTCGCAATCCGTGTGGGCGCGCTGCAGAAATGACGTCGTGTGCCATTCGGTGCGGGCGAGCATGACGGCAGTACCGAAACGCGTATACTTGTTTCAGCTTTCTCGCCTTAATTCTCGTGCTACGTCGTTCGTTTTGGTATCATTGTGTTCACAATAGAATTCCTACGGGGGTATGTGCATATAAGGTCCAAAAGCCCGCCGTGACTCCCCACAGCAAAGCTTAAAGTCGGCAAAGTTACAAATGAGCGTGCAAAATCAGTAAAATGTGTATACTCGTTTCAGTTTTCTCACTTTATTTCTCGTGCTACGTCGTTCGTTTTGGTATGTGTGTGTTCGCAATAGAATTCCCTACAGGGGTATATGCATACAAGGTTTAAAAGCCCGGCGTGACTGCCCCACAGCAAAGCCTAAAGTTGGCCAAGTTACCCGTTAACGAGCACCAATTTGTACACTGCAACCTAATGTAGATACTCGTTCAGTTTGATAAAATCAATTTTCATGTTACGTCTTTCATTTTGGTATCAAATTGTTCGCAATAAAAAGGCGCGTATTTTAAAACTAGTCCCATAATAATAGAGCAGTAACTGGAATTTTAACAAATATTTTAATTCTGGAAGCTCATCATCACAAAATTATTTATATCTTTCCAGTGTTCTGCCATAAATTCTTGTTACATCTTTCATTTTGGTATCAAATTGTGCGCATTCTAAAGGTGCTTATTTTGATTTGATTTTGCTTATTTGTTATATAATGCTTTGAAACTACTGACGGTCTTGGCCTCCTCCACCTTCTCACCTAACTTGTTCCAACCGTCTACCACTGTTTGCGAAAGTGAATTTTCTTATATTTTTTTGGCATGTGTTTAGCTAGCTTAAATCTTTGACCTTGTTCTTGAAGTTCCAGGTCTCGGGAAATCTTCCCTTACTATTTTGTACGTAGTGATCATATCACCTCTTTTTCTTCTGTCTTCTAATTTTGGCATATTTAATGACTCTAACCTCTCCTCGTAGCTCTTGCCCTTCATTTCTGGGAGCCACTTAGTAGCATGTCTTTGCACCTTTTCCAGTTTGTTCATGTGCTTCTTAAGATATGGGCACCACACAACTGCTGCATATTCTAGCTTTGGCCTAACAAAGGTCGTGAACAATTTCTTTAGTATATCGCCATCCATGTATTTAAAAGCTATTCTGAAGTTAGTTAGGGTAGCATAGGCCGCTCGCGCAACGTTCTTTGTGGTCCTCAGGTGATAGTTTTCAATCTAGAACCACCCCCTAGATCTCTCTATCAGAATTCTTTAAAGATTTCTCACATAATTTATAGGTTGTGTGGGGTCTATGTTCTCCTATTCCACATTCCATAACAAGGCATTTATTAACATTAAATTCCATTTGCCAAGTGGTGCTTCATATACTTATTTTGTCCAGGTCTTCTTGAAGGGCATGACAATCATCTAAGTTTCTTATCCTTCCTATTATCTTAGCATCATCAGCAAACATGTTCATATAATTCTGTATACCAACTGGTAGATCATTTATGTAGACAATAAACATCACTGGTGACAGAACTGAACCCTGTGGTACTCCACTTGTGACATTTCTCCAGTCCGATACTTTGCCTCTGATTACTGCCCTCATTTTTCTATCAGTTGGAAAAATTTTCATCCATGTTAGCTTACCTGTCACCTCTTCAATATTTTCTAGTTTCCAGAACAACCTCTTATGTGGAACTGTCCAAAGCCGTTTTTAGGTCCAGATAGATGCAGTCAACCCAACCATCTCTTTCCTGTAAAATCTCTGTGGCTCGATCATAAAAACTGAGTAAATTCAATACACAGGATCTTCCAGATCAAAAACCATACTGTCTGATAATTATATCATTTCTCTCGAGGTGTTCTACCTGTTTAGTTTTTATTAGTTTTTCCCAATACTTTCACTATTACACTTGTCAATGATGCAGGTCTATAATTGAGGGGGGTCTTCCCTGCTGCCACTTTTGTAGATTGGAACTATGTTAGCCTGTTTCTACACTTGTGCTATGACTCTTGTACACAGGGATGCCTGGAAGATCAGGTGAATTGGAATGCTGAGCTCAGATGCACATTCTCTCAGAACCCATGGTGAAACTCCATCTGGACCAACTGCTTTGTTCTTACTGAGCTCTTTTTAGCATATTTTCCACTCCATCTCAAGGCACCGCTATACACTCTGTTGTTCTCTGGAATTGTTATTGTGTCTGGTTCTCTGAAGATTTCATTTTGTACAAACACATTTTGGAACTTTTTGTTTAATGTTTCACGCATTTCTTTTTAATTTTCTGTGAATCTGTTTCTCATTTTCAACCTCTGGATATTATCCTTTACCTGCAATTTGTTGTTTATGAATTTGTAGAATAGGCCCGGTTCTGTTTTACATTTATCCGCTATCCCTTTTTCAATATTTCTTACTGCCGTATAGTTGTTTTTCGCATCTTTGTATCACATCCATGGGAGCCGAGTGGACAGCACACTGGACTTGTGATCCTGTGGTCCCAGGTTCGATCCCGGGCACCGGCGAGAAACTATGGGCAGAGTTTCTTTCACCCTATGCCCCTGTTACCTAGCAGTAAAATAGGTACCTGGGTGTTAGTCAGCTGTCACGGGCTGCTTCCTGGGGGTGGAGGCCTGGTCGAGGACCGGTCCGCGGGGACACTAAAGCCCCGAAATCATCTCAAGATAATCACGTATGTTGCGGGTTTGGCCTTTTCCTATACTGATTCCATTTTTGTGTCTTTTGGTCTCTGTCCCTCTTGCAATTTCTGTTGAACCAAATCCTGTTTTCTGGCCCTGCATCTCTGTTTTGGTATGAATGTCTGTGTGCCTTTATCGTATATTTTGCAAAATTTGGCATTCATTTCATTTACTTTCCTGCCTAGCAACAAGTCTGTGCAATTACACATTAAAAAAAAAAATTTAAGTTCCCCATAGTGACCTCTCCTTAAATCGAGTTTATCATCTGTTTCAATGTCCCCATTTTCTTCTAGATGATATCTTAAAGCATATTTAATGTCTAACAGGATTTGATCACTCTTTACCAAGGGAGGAAGGTATTGGATGTCAAATAATAATAGTAAGAACTGACCTGGCTTATTGTGATAATTATTTTCTTTTCTTTTTTAATCTTTATAGGCCAGAGGTTATGATACCAGACGACAGTGAAGAATGTCAGCTAATTGAGATGGATCGGTCACAGCGTAATCGTCGACATAACTCTATTTATGATGAGGATGATGATGATCATCCTGGTGGAAGGCAACATGTTCAGTGTCAAACCAGTTAGACTTTTGGGTTTTAGTACAAAACTGACTCCATAAATTCAGAAATGAAAGTAATTAATATATATATATATATATATATATATATATATATATATATATATATATATATATATATATATATATATATATATATATATATATATATATATATATATATATGTGTGTGTGTAATATGAACTATGAAAAAATATTGTGAAAGACATAAGAAGTGTTTTTAAGTTTTGGGGGGTTCTTATATTTGTCGTAAATTGCAACTTGAGCAACCTTACCAGAAGTAGTAACCTGCGTAACACACAATGTATATGCGCGCGCGCGCACACACACGCGCACACACACACACACACACACACACACACACACACACACACACACACACACACACACACACACGCACGCGTGTACGTACGTTCGTTCGTTCGTTCTAACACAAGCACACATGCATGCTTGCTAACACATACACACTATGTACAGAATGTGCAATTAGCCTTATGTTAATGTTTGATAGTATGCAGGAATAATATTGTAACTCGTTACCCCTGCATCATAATCTTCACATGAGGCTTCATATGGCAAGACACAAATATCAATATTTTTATCATATAATTGGGTGATTCTGCATTAGTAAGTTTACTGTAACTGTATTTTTTGTGACTGGAATGTGGTGTTGGCATTTCAGGGAACAAGCTCTTACCTTAATAATATAAAGCTATGGATGGGGGGGGGGATACAGGGGTGGTATTGCTTTGTGAAAGATCTTGTAACCTTCATTTTATGCTGTACTGTTTCAAATACTTTTTCTTTTGTCCATATTTATCTACTGTAGTGGATTTTTTTTTCAGTTATATATTTTGTCTATATTTAACAACTGTACTGTATATTAAGACTGAAAAGGTTAATTGACATAATTAGCTTTCTTCAAATCTGTTATATGTAGCTCTGTTTAAAGCATTATATAATTTGTTTTAATTGTTTATGGACTACTATGCCAACTTGTACAGTTGTGTATTAAGATATCTATCACTCGTTCATTTCTAATTGAAGTGTACTCATTCCCTGGATAGCTTAAGTGAGTTTATTGAAGGTAATCTCTTCTCTTTGTCAATTGAAAAACTTAGTATCACTTGTGTAAAAAAAAAAATGTAACCTTAGGTTGTTTAAATAAAGGAAATAGGAAAATAGACAAAGTAGTTTTATTATATTGGAAAACATGTGCACCTTCATTATTTGCATTACGTTCTGGTAAACCTTTTCAAGTTTCCTATTGAGGGAATGTTATTCTGGTTCCAGTTTGCTCTTTTCTAATTAGTTTGTACCTTCTACGTATTTATAGTGCTGCAGTGCCCATTTTCTCGAAGTACTGGTTTAGATTTCCATTATCTAGTACTTCTTCCATGCATATTTTTGCAAGATCTTTGTTTATTCATAGCTAGTTAATCAGTGTTAGTAAAATATAATTTGATATTCTCCTCCTTGGATTGAAGATTGGCTGCACAAGTCAAGTGCCCATGCTCGTCTGAACTTCCAGTAGGTTGTTATCCGAGTAATAAGTATTTGTAATCATTATATCCCTAATCAGTTCATCATTGTTTGTAAAAAATAAGGTCTGGGTGTTTTCTTTCCTAGTCGACTACTATTTGCTGGTTTAAAGCAAATCTCGCACATCTGCAAGAGATCATTGGTGTGTCTTTAAATGAGCGTGCGGATGCTGCCGCCAAGGAAGCTGTCCGCTTTTGTCCCATCTCTCGTAAAGGCATTCCGTATTCCGACTTTTACCCGGTTATCCATTCCTCAGTCCTTACCCGTTGGCAGGCTTCTTGGTTGTCTCTTACTGGTAACAAGCTACGTACTCTTAAATGTTGTGTTTCCTCGTGGCCGTCCTCCTTCCACCGTAACCGGCGGTGGGAAACAGCTCTGGCGAGATTGCGTATTGGCCATACTCACTTGGAGCGCCGCCCTGCTCCTTATTGTCCTAGTTGCATTGTCCCTCTTACGGTCGTGCATGTCCTTCTTGAATGTCCTGACTTCCAGGACGAGCGTGTGTCTTGCTTTCCGACCGCCCCTCGCGGTCACCTGTCCCTCAATAGAATTCTTGGCGACTCGGATACTTTTGATATCGTTCGCCTTATGCGTTTTTGTTCTCGTATTGGCATCCTTGGTGATATTTAGCGCCCTCTGATTATTTTGCGCATTTGATGGTGCTACATAGCCTTCCCGGTTTGGTGCCTTCTTTTGATAATTACTTACTTTGCATATTTAATGCCTCTAACCTCTCCTCGTAGCTCTTGTCCTTCAGTTCTGGGAGCTATTTAGTGGCATGTCTTTGCACCTTTGTTTATATGCCCTGAAGGAGGCAATAAACTATACAATTGAGAATAATTTACATGTCATCATTCATACAGACTAACAGACTAAATCTTCGCTCCAGGCATTGTTATCCAGTCAGCACAGAGATAATATACAACTCCTCACAGAAATTCAACATATAGGAAAAGAAGCCCATAATCGAGGGCCGTCAATCACCCTAAATTGGATACCAAGTCACATTGGCATATAGATGGTAATGAAAAGGCAGGCAGACTAGCAAAAACTGCCACTGCTATACCTGTTGTACAGGTTCAAATACCTCCAAGTTTCTCACAGATAAAGGAGCAAATCAAGAAGAAAATATTTTAAACCATCAAAAGTCGCCACAGAGCCAAAGTAGCGGAAGGAAGATCCACTGCGATATGGTACGAACAAGCCACTGGTTACTCCTCTTTCAAGCCTGGCAAAAAGATATCCAGAGACATTGCAGTAGCCATACACACTCAGACTTGGTTACAAGTGCTGCTGGGAGGTAATGAACCCAATAGTTAGTGTCACATCTGTGAAACTGAAGCAGAGGTGCCACTATTGCACTACTTACTGGAATGTGAAGCTACTGAAGCCCTGCGCATCAAACTCAACATTAATCCAACGACAGCAGCTGCATTAGATGCACATTCCACCGCGACTACAATGATTAGAAAAGCTGTTGAGGAATGGGACTCATTGGTGAGCATTCTGCATCTACATCCGCCACCAAGATAATGTTAATAAAACAAGATTAAAACCAGTGCACTAGAACAGAAGCATCTGCAAATTTGCAGATGATACAAAAATCGGTAGGGAAATTAACACGGAAGAAGACTCACTATCACTTCAAGTTGATCTAAATAGGGTTTTGAAATGGTCAAAAGATTGGCAGATGCAGTTTAATGCTGATAAATGTAAAGTTCTGAGGCTAGGTAATGATGATAAGAGTTACAAGATACGAGCTTGATGGTGATAAGATTGCGAAAGGGATCTGGGAGTTATGATTAGTAAGAATTTAAAACAAAAGGATCAATGCCTGAATGTTCGCAATAAGGCAAATAGGACACTGGGATTTATTAATCCGATTGTAGTAACATTATTATAAATAAATAAATATATGTTTATTTAGGTAAGATACATACAAGTGATTTTACAAAGATTGATCGATTTATAGATAGAGCTAGTACATACAATGCCTAAAGCTACTATTACGCAAAGTGTTTTGGGCATGAAAAACATTTAATGACTAAAGCTTAATACTAATTGAGTATAAAGAATAAAATGTGTTGAGAGCAAATAAAAAAGATAAAAAAGGGGGGAACATGGCTGAAAAAGCAGCACAAATATAATTAAATCGACAAACAGCGTTGTTTAAAAAAAAACAGACATGGGTTGACAATAGAGGGGTAAGGTAGGTTACAGGGAATTTATTAGGTAGTGCTTCGTTTTTATCTTAAACTGGTTGAGAGAGGTACAGTCTTTAACATGGTTGGGAAGGTCATTAGCTTGTGTTTCAAATAGCTTGTTCAGATAGCTACATGGAGCCTGGGGCTCCCTGAGCCTAGGAGTCTCCCTGAGCCTAGGGAGACTCCCAGTCTCCCCTGAGACTGGGAGTCTCAGGCTCCCAGAGCCTGAGACTCCCTGAGCCTCCCAGAAATGCCATAGAGACCCTAGGGCATTTCATTACATTCAACCTAGGTTTGTTATGCTAAGCTACAACTATTTACAAGAATCAATAGGAATGTGCTAAATTATAATATCTACTAGCAATGTTTTATTACATCCTGATATTCAAACATAGGCAATATTTACTCCTTAAAAAGTTATGTTTGTAAGGTGTACAATCAGTTTCATTAAATATAAGATCAGGAATATCTTGAGTTTAATTATCTTCATCATCTTGGTCATCATAATATTCCTGGTAATCATGGGAGGTACTTCTCTCACTGGAGATGAGGTCCACAATCGTGTGCAGAAGAGCACCTTCTTTAGTTGATTTCTCCCACCTTGTCATCCCTGGATGGCTAATTTTGTGCTCCAGAAGTTGGTCCAATATATTTCGTAAACTCTGCAATAAAAAAACAGCATTGAATGTAATAAAACGTCATTTGCTTGGTGAGACCTGGAGGCTCCCCGGAGCTATACCAGGCTGATGTGTATATATTAGACCGTGGCAACAGTCAATCGACGGAGTTCTAGGCCTACTGGGGACCAGTGCCAGAACCTGGCCTCCCTCAGAGGTACAAGGAGCAATGGCCTATAGACAACCCCGCATAATTGGAAGCATTCTATGTCTGCCATCTACCAGGTTAGGCACCCCAGGAAGGTAAGAACTCTAAAACAAACTACAGTTCATTAAAAATTGCAAACCAAAGGCTGAACTAGCAAGCAGATCTCCCCAATCGAAAACAAGCAAACAAGCATGACGTCACCACAGCTGCCATGCCGCTGTCTGTGCAACTTCCCCCTCCCTGCGAGGGGGAAGGTGCGGTCCCAGACTTCCCACGCCAACTCAGGGGCTGAATTAAAAAAAAAAAAAAAAAAAAAAAGTTGACCGGAGGGTGGAAGGATGCCGGGGAGCCTCCGGCTCTCACCCCGAAAATAGCGTTTCATTACATTCCATGCTGGTTTTCTTTGGAAAGCCCCAGTGGCATTTTATTGGCACAACAACTCCAGCGCGAGTGGACAGGTCTAATCTGTGTATACACAGCACCGTGCGTGTTTCGTTCAATTTCGTCGCCACAGTTCAGTGACCTACAGCTTCGAAATAATAAAATTAATAAATTTGTTCTCCATTAAGTATTTTTATAACTCTAATATTATGTAATAATGTTGCTAAACTAAATATATAACCCAAAAATATATAATTTGATGTAAATCCAATATTTGAGAGAAATTTATGTGACTGGATCTGGCTTAACCACCAGCCTACTGTAGGGTGCGTAGACCTAATCTGCATTCATACAGTAGGCACCCTAGGCACCCAGTGCCATTAGCTTTGCCTGCAAGTGGATCGAACCCGGGACCACAAGTTCAGTGTGCTGTCTGCTCGGCCGACCGGCTCCATCTCCCTGGTAAAGATGATATCCTTTAAATGTAAAGTGATCATAGGCCATTGCTCTCTCTGCCTCTCTGAGGGGGCCAGGCTTGTGGTAGGCAAAAGTAACTCCACAACTGATGATGATTGGCAGTACGGCACTTAATCAGTGATGCTTCAGGGAGCCAACGAGGTTCTCCACAGAAAAACACCTACCCTACACTACAACCTAAAAATTATGAGATAATCCTTGAGATTTCTGAGCTGTGTTGTCTGTTGAGCAGTTTTGTGCTCTTCACTATCATATTACTGTAAACATACCGTACTAACCTGAATTAAGTGGGCTACGTGTTGTGAACTTCGAACTCGTACAAATCCATCAACGTTTATTACTCCATTACTAGAATTGTAGTTTAGTTTCTCTCCAAAGAAGAGAAGGGGATAGTTTGGAACCATAGAGCTGTCATGGATGAAAACCTGGCAAAGAAATTAATAAGCATTGTATAGTCATCCTATAAATATTTAAAAGTCACAATTCAGTACGGTATGGTCTGCTATAAATTTTATTACTAAAATAAAAAATAATTAATTTATGTCAGTTCATTACACACTTCCACTCGAGTCACTACTAAGATGTAGTATTGCTTGATGCAACTTAATGCGACATGAGTTGTACGGTTGTATGTGAATACTGGCAACCTTAATGACCGACAACTAACATAATGTAACCGAGTCAGATCCCTGAGATAACCCGTGCATAAGATATTTTATGAGCAAGCTGCTGTTAATGCTGTTTACTGTATGTCTACCTGTGCTACAGTACAGGTATTGTGTGTGTGTTTACCACTGTTAGAGTACTGGTACTGTGAATTTACCTGTACCTGTTGATTGTACATTTACCTGTTGGAAGGGGACTTCTCTTCCAAACAGTAAAACCTCTCCTCCCCCCACCTCCTTGCCATCTTTCATATGCCAACAAGAGTCATCAATAAAGATAAGCTATAACTTGTACATACAGTACAATATAGTACACATATAGTACAAAATGTGTGTGTATTATATATGAAATGTATTTTGAAGTTAATATTTTTGGGAGTGTGGAACAGATTAATTCAATTTGCATTATGTATAAAGGAGGAAATGTATATGTTTATCTCTCAGAATGTTCGGTAATATGTTTATTGTTTGTGATGTGTGTCTATGTATGTATTAACACGATGTACTGAAGGGGTGAGAACAGCTTAAGCTACCTCATCCTTTTGTGTGTATTTTACCTCAATAAACATATTTCAATTTCAATTTGCATTATTTCTCATGGGAAAATTAATTTCGAGTTACAACCCGTCTCTGGGAATGGATTAAATTCGTAAATGGAGATACCACTGTAGTTATTCTTGGTGATGTAATTATAGGATAAACTTATGCCGTAAATAAACTTACTTTTGTCGACTTTATCTTTTCTCTGTATATCAACCATGGATGTTCAAAATCCCTTTCCTTTTCATTCACTGACTTTGGGTGCAATGCAACTCGACGTTCTTGTGCTGTTCGGATCTTTGCTGGTCTATGTGGACTAGGTCGTCCTCTGTTTGGCAAGACTCGGGCAACATTTGGGTAGAGGCCCGCTGTGATGATGGCCCGCACTAGTGCAATGTTTTCAGCGTTGCGGTTAACTTCACCTGTTGATGTATGATTTAACTGTAATCTTTATGTTTACAATAACATATAAAACAATGTTGTATATGTTTTATACCCCCATATACAACCTCAACCTCACCCCCATATAAAACAAAGGGGATGACGTTGCAATGTGTAGTGAGGTTGGGGTGAGGATGAGAAGTGTGGTGATGTGAGGGTGAGGTTGAGGTGTTTGGTGAGGAGGGGTGTGTGAAGTGGGGGTGATGTTGAGGTGGGTTGGGTGATGAGAGGGAAGTGAGGTTGGGGTGTGGGGTGAGGTTGGGATGAGGTTGGGATGTGGAGAGAGGTTGGGGTGTGGGGTGAGGTTGGGGTGTGGAGAGAGGTTGGGGTGTGGGGAGAGGTTGGGGGGTGGAGAGAGGTTGGGGGTGTGGGGAGAGGTTGGGGGTGTGGGGAGAGGTTGGGGTGTGGGGAGAGGTTGGGGTGGGGGGAGAGGTTGGGGTGGGGGGAGAGGTTGGGGTGTGGGGAGAGGTTGGGGTGTGGGGAGAGGTTGGGGAGAGGTTGGGGTGTGGGGAGAGGTTGGGGTGTATTCATCTAGTTGTGCTTACGGGGATTGAGCTCTGCTCTTTTGGCCCGCCTCTCAACTGTCAATCAATCAACTGTTACTAACTACTAACAAATTTTTTTCACCCCTTCCCCCCAGGAATCAGCCCATAACAGCTGTCTAACTCCCAGGTACTTATTTACTGCTAGGTAACAGGGGCATCAGGGTGAAAGAAACTGCCCATTTTTGTTTCTCGCTGGCGCCGGGAATCGAACCCGGGACAGGATTAAGTGTCCAGCATGCTATCCACACAGCCACTGGAGTCCCTACGCCCCACCGGCGTGGTGAGGTTGGGGTGTGTGTGTGGTGACATTGGAATGTGTACTCACATATTTGTGCCTGCAAGGTCGAGCATTAGCTCTTGGACCCTGCCTTTCTAGCCGCAGGTTGTTTAAAGCAACGACTCCTGTCCTCTTTCCTTATATCATACTTTTACAATTATGAATATAGTTTGCTTCCACAATCTGCTCCATTCGTTCATTTCACTTTCCCACTACTCTTACGCTAAAATGAAAACTTTCTAACATTATGACTCATCTGAGTTTCAAGCTTCGACCCATGTCCCCTCATTCTATTGGTATTCGGTGTGTGAACATTTCTTTTCATTTCCACTATGTCACTACCCTAAGTACTTCGTACATCTCCATCATATCTCTCTCTCTCTATCATATCTCTATCATCCATCTCTCTCTCCCTCGCTCTCCCTCCCTCTCCCTCTCCCTCTCCCCCTCCCCCTCTCTCCCCCCCTCTCCCTCTCCCCCCCCCCCCCCCTCTCTCTCTCTCTCTCTCTCTCTCTCTCTCTCTCTCTCTCTCTCTCTCTCTCTCTCTCTCTCTCTCTCTCTCTCTCTCTCTCTCTCTCTCTCTCTCTCTCTCTCTCTCTCTCTCTCTCTCTCTCTCTCTCTCTCTCTCTCTCCCTCTCTCTCTCCCCCTCCCTCCCTAGAATATGTTTTGCTGATGAGTTTATAACCTGGGACTTAATTACTGTAGGGTGAACATGGTTGAAGCATAAAGGATCGCTGGCCAAGTGCCCCTTTATTTCCAGGGCTCGAGTGTGGCCAATATTGTTCACAAAGCATGAGATGAGCATGCTACCACTGCACACGGGAATTCATGTTACATTGTACATTAGAGATTTGAAATAATGTATACTATATGAATAGTAATGCAATATTTAGCTAACATTTACATATCATACAAAGCAGCTTACCTGCCCGGGGATCTCGTGTATTAACAAACTTGTGTTCATACAGCAATCCCATGAACTGTCTCCGCATGTTTCTGAAACAAGATTATTTAATAAAGTAACAATTTATAATATTCTTACAGAGTTAGACAATAATGTATCATGACCAAAATGCTTAACCCTTAAGTGTTGTCTAGTGAAATATGATCAACAACATATGACAATTTAAGCTTTGTATGAATGTTTGAATATTGATGCTGCCATATTGTTCCAATAGCTCAATGGTGTCTCTTCAGACATACAGGGGAGGGTGGGGGGCACAAAATAATTTGGAGTCGGACATAGTTTAGCTCTTGGTTTCCCATCATCATCATCATATGATGACTATTACAATTACATGAACCAACAAAGATTGTTTTGTGAATAGAAAGATTCTCACTGTAGAGTATAAGATTATTTGGTTATTTATATTACTTTTGCATACTGATGCCTTACTTTTGATTGTACAGTATTTCATTAGAAAAATAAAAAGTGAAGAACAATATTTTGTGTGTGGTCTTGGCTCCATTACAACAATAATACTAAATACAAATCTACCATTTCACAAGATAAAACAGGAAAAAAACAGCGTTGAATGTAATGAAATGCCATTTTCTGGGAGACCCAGAGACTCCCCAGAGATATCCAAGCTGATATGGATATATTAGACTTTGGCATCAGTCAATGTAAATGGAGTTCTAGGCCTACTGGGGACCACAAGCCAGGACCTGGCCCCCTCAGAGAGGCATATGGAGCAATGGCCTATAGAAATGCACATGTGGTTATGGAGCATTCTATGTTTACCATTGACCGGGTCAGGCACCCAGAAAGGTAAGTATCCCAAAACAAACCCCTATCTTGGTTGAAACTACATTACTACTGAAAGTCAAACGAGTGAACAGAACTCCCCAAATAAAAATGAGCAAACGAGCATGACGGCACCACGTGCCACGCCGCCGTCTGCGTAGCTCCCCACTTCCCTGGGAGGCAGAAAGGGAAGTCCCAGACCCCTCACACCAGGGAAAAGGTGTTCCTTTCTCATCCCGGTTTCCCGGGATGAGAAAGGAATGGAGTTTCGAGGAGATGGTTATTCCGGGCAGCGAAGAGCTCAGAGACTTCATAACAGGCACCATGACGATGGGAAGACCAAGAGTAGTAGTAGCAGGGATATATAACCCACCACCAAATGAAAGAAGATCCAGGCAAGAGTATGACAGAAACAACATGGCACTTGACACTATCATTGAGAGAGCAGCCGCTGCTGCCCGTAGAAATCGATCCCATCTGCTCATAATGGGGACTTTAATCACGGAAGGATAGACTGGGAAAACAAGGAACCACATGGAGGCAAGGAAACATGGAGAGCGAAGCTGTTGGAGATGGCGACTAGAAACTTATTAAGTCAGCATGTCAAGGGTCCCACGAGAATGAGAGGCAATGATGAACCAGCAAGACTCGACCTAGTATTCACTCTGAACGATTCAGACATAAGGGAAATCGGTCTTGAAACCCCCGTGGGTATGAGTGATCACAGTGTACTGTTGTTTGAGTATCTGGTCGAAGAAGGGTTAATGTACTCAAGGAAGGGACCAGAAAGCAAGAGGCCGGCATTCCGGAAGGGAAACTATGGAGGAGATGATAAAATTCCTAACTGAAATAGCTTGGGAAACAGAGCTCAGAGGAAAGACAGTTTAAAACACGATGGACTACATCACACAGAAGTGTAAGGAGGCAGCAGACAAGTTTGTTCCAGTCCAAAAGGAAAAAAAGGAAATGCAGATGAGAAACCCATGGTTTAATCAGGGATATAAGCTAGCAAAGCAACTAGGTAAAAGGGCATGGAGAAACTATAGAAACAACAGAACACTAGAGAGCAGAGAAAGGTACCAGGGGCCAGATTCACAAAGCAGTTACGCAAGTTCTTATGAAAGTGTACATCTTTCCTAAATCTTTGACAAGTTTGGTTACATTTATTAATCAGTTTACAAGCATGAAAACTTCCCAATCAACTGTTTGTTATTGTTATAAACAGCCTCCTGGTGCCTCAGAGCTCAATAACTGTTTAATAATTGTAGACAAAGCCGCCAAAGATTGAGAAAAGATGTACAGGTTCGTAAGTACTTGCGGAACTGCTTCGTAAATCTGTCCCCAAAGCGCCAGGAATGAATACGTAAGGGTGAGAAGAGGTAGAGAGGCAATATGAAAATGACATAGCGAGCAAGGCAAAGACTCAACCCAAACTGCTGCATAGCCACATCAAGAGGTAAATAACAGTGAAGGAACAGGAAATGAAACTCAGGATAAGGGCAGAAAGATTAACTGCAAACGACAAGGAGGTGAGCGAAGAACTCAATAAGAAATTCCAGGAGGTCTTCACCTCAGTGCAAGGAGAAGTCCCAGAGATGAGAGGGAGCATCAAACCAGACACCACTAGAGGAGTTTGTGATTACCAGTGAGGAGGTGAGGAAGCATCTGCTAGATTTGGATGTGACAAAGGCTATAAGCCCGGATGGAATCTCACCATGGATTTTAAAGTTAGGACCAGAAGCTCTGTGCCTGCCACTCTCCATGGTGTACAAAAATCACTGGTAACAGGTGAACTGTCAAAAATTTGGAAGACGGCCAATGTAGTCCCAATATAAAAGAAGGGTGATAGGCAGGAGGCACTGAACTTCAGGCCATTGTCCCTAACTTGCATTCCATGCAAGATGATGGAAGATTATGCGAAAAAAGCTAGTAGAACATCTGGAGCGAAAGAAACTTTGTAACACAACATCAGCATGGGTTCAGAGATGGCAAATCATGCCTAACAGGCTTAATTGAGTTCTATGACCAGGCAACAAAAATCAGGCAAGAGAGAGAGGGCTGGGCAGACTGAATATTTCTGGACTGCCAGAAAGCTTTTGACACGGTACCACATAAGAAACTGATCTGAATACCACATAATAGATCTGCTGAAAGAGGTGCAGCCATGGGAAAACCTCTGAGTTCGGAAACCAAGCAAGCAGTGCCTGAAACCAAGGCTGGGCTGGCCACCATGGAGCCAAAAGGACTACTCTCCCCTGGTAAGCCACCAAGTAAGCTAGGACCTGGAGCAACAGCGGAATTGGGGGGGAAAGAGGTACAGGTCACCCCACCTCGACCAGTCTTGCCTAAAGGCATCGACCCCTACGGCCCCGCAGTCGGGAAAGGGCGCCACATATACCAGGAGATGCCTCAACCACACCAATGCAAAGAGGTCCACCTCCTGGAGCCGTACGTCCAGCAGAACCAACTGAATGAGTCGGCGTCAACTGTCCATTCCATGGATAGGAGGAATGTTCATGGAATGATACAATCCGGTCACCAGGACGTTGGACACTCCCCGAACTTTAACGGCCAAACCCTGAGAACTCAGAAGACGAGTCACCCAAAGTGACCAGCCTAAAAGAGTCAAGGACCGCCACGGTTCAGGCAATGAACTACTGGGGAACAGGCCAAATGGAGCCTGATCGTCAATCAGCGAGCGACCCAAACCCTTTGAAGCAACATCCACACTGCCACGAACTCCCGCACCGTCCTGTGGGCCCGACAGAAGGACGGACCCCACCGCCCCTGGCCGGCCCGGTGAGCACTGGTCACAAAGCCCTAGCCAAGAGACGACACGTCCATGAACACATTGAGTGAGGGCTTGGGTAGGCGCCAAAACACTGAACCCTGAAAAACCCGAAGACACAGCAGCCAAAGCAAGGCCCCGGAGGCCAAACCCAGCAATCGCGAGAGAGAGGAGGATGGGATGGCCCCGAAGGAACCAGAACAGCCGACGAAGTCAAACCCTACCTGGCAGATAGACCATCACGGCAATGTTCAGGCTCCCTCACAAACCCTCGAGCAACCTCCAAATGACCCGAGAGCCCCCCAGAAACATGCAAAGGCGGGACTGCAGTCGAAGCAGACTTCTGAGGGAGAGGCAAGGAAGTGGTCCGAGAATCCTACACAAGACCCAACCAAGTCCGAACCTGAGAGGGAACCAGATAGGACTTCCACCAGTTCACCAGGAACCTGAACCCGCCGAGGTGGGAAAGAACCAAATCCCTGGCGAGCAGATAAGTGAACTGACTGGGAGCCCACATCACCAAGTCGTTGAGGTAGGCCAGCACCCAAACACCTAAGAGACGCAGATGGGCCACCATGACCTGAGTAAGGCGTGTGAACGCGCGAGGTGCCAGGTTCAACCCAAACGGGAGACAACGAAAGTGGTAACTGAGACGCCCCACAACAAAACCGAGCCAATCCCCGAACCTCGGATAAATTGGGACGTGCCAATACTCATCTCGGAGGTCCAGGGATACCATCCAAGTGCCCGGTTCCAACGGAGTCATCCGAAAAGAAGGGCCAATAGATCAAGGGGTTCAGACGAGACAAGTCCAGAATGCAGTGACTTCACCACACTACCTGAGAAGCCATGTTTGTCATTACCAGGAATGTTTACATTTGTACTCGAATACATTATCATGTGTAACACTATTCCTGATTCAGTCAGAGTACAAAGAATTTAGATCCAAATCTGTGGCATTTGGAGGGAATATAATGCTTGAAGGCACCACACCCTTTGAAAAGCACAAAGAATTCATCAATCACAAGCTTCTGAGCTGGTAAGTACCAATTTCTGAACTTTCCAATAAATTCATTCAGAACGTGCTTCACCCTCCAATGCCTATCATCCTGTGTCTCGTCTTCATTACTTGCAAAATGAAGACACCTGAAGAGTATCAAAAATCTGTCTCGAGACATATATTTCCCAAACAATGGTGCTGGAACAGTCTGGTCTTTGCTCCAATAATTGTTGATTACGTATTTGATACAATGTTTCATCAACATACACATTGCCAAAAACACATACATTTCACTTACAGTAGTATCTTTCCAACGCTGTAATCGTGAAAAATCTGATAACTCTTCATCTTCGATGAGATCAGCCGCGTATTTGTTCATTTCCTGAACAACATGTACTGGTTTGTGGTCCCTGATAGGCTAATAGAACTCCGTGACTGATGGTACCTAGTAGCATGGCACTGAATAAGTGATAGTAGCTTCAGGAAGCCTTAAGGGGCTATCCCCAGAAAAGCCAGTCAAGGTAATTGAAGTAAAATAATAAAAAAAGAGGAAACATAGTATAATAATTATTTCAAAGTTTGCTGTATAGTATACAGTAGTACAGGTATTATTAACTTAATTTATAAACAAAAATACATAATGGTTGTCTCACTTGAGTTGATGTAATACAGCTGAGGAAAGAAAGTTGTCCCAGCAATAGTTTCTTTCATCACGATACTGACATGCACGTTCCCACCTGTCATAAACAGTCACTAGTAACAAATGGTCACTCTTGGTCCCTTGGCTCAATTTTCTCTTCACTTCATCAACTGTTTTTTCTTTGCCCTGGAAGGAAACGCTACAGAATTACACAGATTATCTACTAACCTGTAGCCAAGGATATACAGTAATGTTGGAGACAGTACATAATGTATATCTCTCAATGACAAACTTGTATGGAAGCTAATTTAACATTAACCTAAGCTTACCTAACTTATGAAGTCAATCAAATTAAATTCTTTAATTTATACAGAAAAAAACACATCACACTACTTTATGTATGTGCGTGTCTAATTACCAAAGTGTAGTAAGGATGAGAGCTGTGCTCATGGAACTCTGTCTTCCCAGCGCACTTTATAATATAACATTTTGAAACTACTGTACTGTATGAGATCGTTTATCTGAAGCCCACTGATCTGAATATTTGGGTTATCCGGCAAAAATTGCCGGATTCCCCAAGAAGAGAAGTATGCTCCAGGTATTGGTAAGAGACCAAATCGGATCTAAATAATGAGCCAGCATGGACTGCCAACAAGTGAGTCAGGGTAAATAAAATCCCATTTTTACCTGAAGGAGGGGGGGGGGGGCGAGCACCTTGGGCAAGGCCACCAAGACTGGAACCGCAGGCTGCAAGGCCTCCACATGCAGAGCAGACCCCTAGAGAAGCCACATCCTAATGAAAATACTCTGCAAGTCCCTTCCCAAGGACCTAGATATGCAAGACCACAGCTATGTGTGAATGTGCCCTGTGGTCATCTGCAATAAGAGCCTAGAAAGTGTAGGGAGTTGAACATGGAGCTGCTGCTTGCCCATATTCTTGGTAAATGCTGGAGCAGTGTGGCCTGAAGTGGGGAATTAAACCCTGCTCAAACATTATGGAGCTCATCTCCTGCCAGTCAACCAGACGGGAACAACAGAACCCTTGCCAAGATCATAAGGAAAGAAGAGGGATGTCAGCCAGCTACGATGAGCCTCAGACCTCAAACTGTAAGCAAAGACTAAGGAAGCAAACATGCTACAAAATATATTAGAAAGTTTTTATTTTCAAACAGGATGGTACAAGGTTGGAACAAATTAAGTGAGAAGGCAGTGGATGCCAAAACTATCAGTAGTTTCTGTCATATGACAAAGAATATGGGGAAGACAGTACACCATGAGCATAGCTCTTATCCTATAACCACACTTTGATAATTACCACTCATAATCACTCTCCCTGACTCCATCCTCACTAGCAGTAAGATCACTATCACCACATTTTCAGTAGAATCATATATTGTTGCAATAAATATGCTTCAATTGACAACCCAAAGTGTGTATGTCATGACAGTGACATTGTGTCAGTCATCAACCACATACCCTCACCCTTCAGTATAATTTTCCTTCCTGCCAAAGTAGCATATTTCATATTCAGAGATAATATTTAAGTTAACTACAGTACATGTAATATACTAGCATTCCTCTTCATTGTTAATAACTTTCAGATTCTTCTAAGTTCTTGCAATTTTGCAAGAGTCAATGATCCCTGGAATGGTGTGACTGTGTGCTCATTGCCTGACTACTCATGTACTAGACATGCTGCATCATTTTACTAACGCCCAAGAAGCAAAACTAAGACTCTCAGGAGGATTTTTTCCAATATGTAAAATGATAACTAATTATCTTTAGTGTTGAATGACATCCCAATAGAATCTGTGGGCAGGCGATGAGTCACAATAATGTGGTTAAAGTATGTTGACCAGACCACACACTAGAAGGTGAAGGGACGACGATGTTTCGGTCCGTCCTGGACCATTCTCGAGTCGACTGCATCAAGTCGATTCTCAATCGACTTGAGAATGGTCCAGGATGGACTGAAATGTCGTCGTCCCTTCACCTTCTAGTGTGTTGTCTGGTCAACAGAATCTGTGGGATTTTATTATGCGCAGCAAAAATTGCACAAAGGCATTTGGAGAACAGCAGCCAATAGGAGTGGTTTAAAGGTAAATATATACACTGATAGTGATACAAAATTCTACTTACAATTGGAGTGACAAATGGATCCTTAAAAGATAAAGATGCTGCCACTGTCAAGATGGGTCCAACACAGGAAAAAATGGCGGCCATAAGCAGCATACGACCTGTCAACGGGTCTACTGGCAAACGAGCCAAATGGAAACCCAGAGGTGTTAGGTTTTCACTTTCATCTATTGCATTAATTGCTCGAAGCATCTGAAAAAAAAATCTTTATATATATATAAAGATTTTATATAATTTTATATTTTATATGATTTTATATTTTATAAAATCTTTATATATATATATATATATATATATATATATATATATATATATATATATATATATATATATATATATATATATATATATCTTTAAGATATATATATATATATATATATATATATATATAATCTATATATATATATATATATATATATATATATATATATATATATATATATATATATATATATATATATGGCAGATTTATATAAATAAATTCTTTATAATATATCTTTATAAACAACACAGAAATCATCGATAGAAACAGCGATAGCAGGAGGCTCGACATCAGCGAGGCACTACACAAAGTCAACACCAGCAATCAACAGCCAATTAATGCACAACTATATTCTACCCACTTCAAGACCCCGAACCAACATAGAAACAGGAAGAAGAGGTATGGGCCAATAGGCCTTCTGTAGTTACTTCCATTCCTTATGTTTTCATACCCAATTTATACCCATTGTTTCGTGTTCTGTCTTGTGTTTGTCACCTCACCCAAAACTTTTGTGCCATATCACTTCACCCAAAAATTGAAAATGAATTATTAAATATGAAAGTACTTAAGGAAATTCTTGTTTCAATTCTTCCTCCATGGTCTAAGTCTGTCACATTTTTCATCACGTGTTAATTTTCGTGATTTACACACACACACACAAATCCTTGTGGATTTGTTCAAAGATAAATCACGATTGTTGGTACTGTGGTACCAACAAAATTAAATGATAAAAATGGGGGACTTCAACTTTAAAGCAATAGACTGGGAGGCCTACAAAGGCATGTTTTTTTTGCCAGACTTCCCAGCCCTATTGTGGCCAAAATATGCCACTTACTATTTTTTTATTAATTATCATGTGATCAGGGAACACAAATTAACACTTTTATAAGCCAAATTTTTTTTATATATATTTTATATTTCTTGCACCTAGGCGTGTTGCAGGCTACAATTGCAAGAGCAGCCCAGGGGTTAAGGTTCTCATTTTTACCGAGTACCTTTAATTTATTACTGTTAAATATCATGTTATTTTCTGCTGCCCAGTTGAAAACTATTAATATCTGTTTGTAATTTTTTTAATGTCTTTAACAGAAGTAATTTTCATGCTGATTTTTGTTTCATCTGAAAAAGATGATACAAAGCTGTGACTTGTATTTTTGACTATCTGATCTCAGAATAAGAAAAGCAGTGGTGCAAGAACTGTGCCCTGTGTTACAGAGCTTTTAACTGCACTTGGATTCTATTTTATTTGGTTGACTCTTACTCTGTTTTCTGTTCAACAGAAAATTTAATATCCACCATCCTACTTTACCTGTTATTCCCATCGACTTCATTTTGTGTGCTATCACTCCATGGTCACATTTAATAAATACCTTTGCGAAGTCCATGTATACCACATCTGCATTTTGTTTTTCTTCTAATGCCTATGTGATTTTATTGTATTGGTCAAGTAGCTGTGAGAGACATGACCTTCCCACTCTAAATCCATGTTGTCCTGGGTTGTAGAGGTCATTGGTCTCCATGAAACTGGATTACTGACTCCTGATCACTCTCTCAAATACTTATAATATGTGAGATGTTAATGCAACTGGTCTATAAGTTTTAGCCAATAATTTGCTCCCACCCTTGTATAGAGGAGCTATAAATGCTGACTTAAGCGCATCTGGTATCTCCCCTGTATCCAAGCTCTTTCTCCACACTACTAGTATATTGAGTGCCTGTGCTACTGGCACTTTGCATTTCTTTGTATATATTGAATTCCATGAGTCTGGACCCAGGGCTGAATGTATGGGCATGTTGTCAATTTCTCTTTCAAAATCTGCACCATTTGTGTTGATATCAGTTATATTCTCAGGGGTTTGGACATCCCGCATAAAGAAGCTGTCGGGATATTTTACTTTCATGCTGTTTATTGGGGTGCTAAACATGTCCTCATATTGCTTTTTCAGGATTTAACTAATATCTTTGCCATTCTCTCTGCATGAACCTTAACTTGTGAGAATAGGTCCAATACTGACCATGGTTTTTGCTTTTAGTTTCGCATATGTGAAGAAATATTTTGAATTGTTCTCCATCTCTCGTATGGCTTTCTGTTCTAATTGCATTTCTTCAGTCTGATATGAATGTTTCAGTCTGTGATCGATTTCTTCAATCTCCCTGTTTAAATTATTCCTGCTTTGTCATGTCATGCTTAAGCATTAAGCATAGGTCATGTCTGCTTAAGCATTTCTGTTATTTTGTTCCTGCTTTTGTAGTTCCGTCTGCGTTATCTTTCCAAGTTGGTCCGCTTTCTGGGATTCCGCAAAGGAACATGTTTTAGACAGATGTTATATGCTTCGGAAGTCAGTTGTTCTATTCCTTGTGTGGGATTTCTATTACTTAGAACGGTTTCCCATTGAATGTTTGTAAATTTCCTGTTTATTTTTTCCAAAGTCTATCCTTAAAATTCAATTTAATGAATAACCCCTCTCGCTTGATCATTGTTTTAGATCAATTACAAGTATTGATGTCAGTTTGCACTTCAATGAGCTTGTGATGTATGTAGTATCCGAGATTGTAATGCTCCTTATTATATCTTCATTATTTATATTCAAGACTCATAGGTAGCTTACTGCCTTTTAGTATTACCTGTATATTCAATACTAATAGGTAGCTTACTACCTTATTATTATATTCAAGACAAATAGGTAGCTTACTGCCTTAGTATTATATTCAAGACAAATAGGTAGCTAGCTTACTGCCTCAGTATTATATTCAAGACTAATAGGTAGCTTACTGCCTCAGTATTATATTCAAGACTAATAGATAGCTTACTGCCTCAGTATTATATTCAAGACTCGTTCATAAGAGATGAGTTTTCTTATACCTGAAGTGACACATCCACCACAGACTGATCAGGTGGCATCATCACTTTAGATAAGAAGGATTTGACAGAACCTAAGCGCAGGATCTTGATATGAAGAATAATCTCTTCAAGGCGAGTGCGCTGAATTTCCGGTAGAGGATACTCGTCTAATATTTGTTCTCGAGCTCGCGTAAAAAGATGGAAGCACACACCTGCCTGCACTCTGAAATACAATAAAATAGAACATTATGTTTCCACAGGAAAACTTATATATATTTTTAATTATGCCCTTCAAAATGGAAGATTCTTTTAAATTTTGTACTCTAAATATTTAAATAATTCTGGATTGACAAATTTATTTCATTACTCTTCCTGTATGGGCGATGTTATACTGGTAAAGTGTGTGTATTCCAGTATATTTGAGCAAAGGAGAAGGAGAGGAAAGATGGAAACGTAGGTAGACATATTAAGTGAATGTGTGATTTCAAACTGAAGGCATCAAGTATCAACAAAGAGATTTATCTTTATCTGCTCTCTCATGATTATTATTAGGCTCTTCATTTTGTCATCTAGTTCTTTTTTAGTCCATGTGTTGCTTGTTAGTAGACTGTAGCAAATAATAATTATCAGTTTATCATGATTGCACATGTATATATGGGTAATTACCTAGGTACTGTATAGTTACATGACGAGAGCTATGATCATGGTGTGCCATTTTCCCAGTGCTCTGTCATGTGATGCTTTGAAACTACTAATAGTGCTGACATTTACCACCACCTCACTTCAATTTTTCCTACTCTCTACCACTCTGTATGCAAGCAAACATTCAAATATTTTTTTCAGCAGCTTCGTTTCCTTAGCTTGAATCCACGACCACTTGTTAACAAAGTTGCAGGTTTCAAGAATACTTTGTCAATTTAATCGATTCCTGTTTGAGAGAGAGAATGGTCTTTCAAGGTTTCCCACAGCTGACTTGAATGGCTTATTGCATTGCAGTGCACCAAGTAGTGCAAAAGGTATATCACTTTTACTCCTGGAAGGAAGATTGTCATGTCAAGTGTCCTTGGAATGCCCACATGCCCAGGAATACATGGATCATGCGGAGGTCATCGAATGCCTAGGGAGAAATTAGATAAGGGGAATTAAGCATTCCCCTTGTAGCGTTGCATTCCATAGCAACGAGTTGGGAAATTACAAAGGTTGGAAGGTGCCAGGTGGTGGAAGAGGGGATACCTGCGAGGCAGGAGAGATAAGTCTTGATCTACCTCCAAATCGTGACGTAGTCGTGACATCGATATGACATCACTCTTCTGCCCATCACAGAAGAAGAAAGAGAGATGATATGATCACTACGTACAAAATAGTAAAAGGAATTGATAAAATTGATAGGGAAGATTTCTTGAAACCTGGAACTTCAAGAACAAAAGGTCATAGATTTAAACTGGTCTGAGAGGATCCCAGACGCGCCTTACTCGACTGTGCCACAGCACGGTTAAATGAATTGCAGTCGAGAGTTCTACCGCTCTCACACTGACCCTGCAGTCTCTCTGAGACACAAACCAGGGTTTTACACAATCCCCCCCATGCACCCAGGCTCTGTCAACAAGCTATTCTACTTCTTCGCCCTTAACTCATTACACACACAAATCACAATAGCTCGGAGAGCTATGCAGTCTCAGAGAGACTGCAGGATCCGTGTGAGAGCAGTTTTGATTTAGTTTTTGCAGTTTTTGCAATCCCGGATGCAATTCTTTAAACCATGTCGTGGCACAGTTGATTACGGCGCGTCTGGGATCCTCTTGGACGTAGGTTTGAACCCTGATCACGGCCTTGTGGATTTGTTCATTTGATGCATCACGCTATTGTGATTTCTGTGTGTAATGAAGTAAGGGTGAAAAGATAGAATAGCTTATTGACAGCCTGGGTGCATGGGGGAATTGTATAAAACCCTGATTTATGTCTCCGAGAGACTGCAGGATCTGTGTGAGGGCAGTAGAACTCTCGGTTGCAATTCTTTTAACCATGTTGTGGCACAGTTGATTAAAGTGTGTCTGGGATCCTCTTAGACATAGGTTCGAACCCTCATCACAGCCCTTGTGGATTTGTTTACACAAGATCTTTCTTACTTACCGACCTGCACGACCTCGGCGTTGTTTAGCATTGGCAATTGTGACCCATTCAGGTAGCAGGGTTGACAAATTAGCCTCCTTATCATAATTTTTCATTTTAATACGCCCACCATCAATAACATAAACTATGTCATCTATAGTAATACTGGTTTCTGCAATATTTGTTGCCAAGACTATTTTACGCACACCTGGAAATAGAAAAATTGTTAGCTAACTGCAGGTAAGTAATTTATATTTCTATAAAATTGCTGAAAGACAGGATGAATGAATACTGAAAAGTTGCAATTACAGTACAGAATAACATCAATCATTTTCAATTTTCAAAGGTTCCTGATTCTATGAAGTAAGTAATTATCAAAAGAAGGCACCAAGCCAGGGAGGATATGTAGCACCGTCAAATGTGCTACATGTCAAATTTTGGGGTTCACTGGTTTCCTCTTAGGGCATTTTAGGGTTCAATGTCATCACACCTGGTGCTTAGTTCTGTGCGTTGTTAGCGTGCTGGATGTGTGCAATGTTATCCTGAGGAGGTCTCTCATTTCCATCCCATTTCAAAAGGAAAGGACTGTTGACTGTGTTTCTCAATTTATTCAGACACCACAAGATGGACCTTATCACTTCAGCCTCCATCCTACATGCCCACATTCTCCAATCATGAAGTTCTTGCAACAGATGTCTTCAGTTGGACTGGTTGAAATGTGGATTCCTTTCTCTTTTCTCTCAGGTTTGGCTGCTGATTAAAGCTTCATCGAAACTGGAGACGTCTACGGGCAGGGTGTTCCTTCTGGCTCCTTGGGTCCTTGATGGCTGGCTCAGCCTTGGTTTCTAGCTCATTTGGCTCACTGTCTAAACCCCGGCATTTTTCCATAGCTTCGGCTCTTTCAGTAGATCAGTCTTGAGATGTTCTTTGCTGGTTTAAGGTTTTCCTCCAATCTTTGCTTCTGGAGTTTTGATGCTTGTTTATCGTCATTTGTTTGGTGCACAAGTGACTGACCAGTTGGTCTAACACATGCGCCTTTTGTTGTAGCTGCAGTATGAAGTTTCTTAGCACTTCATCTTTTCATCTCTCCTCATCATTTATCATCTGTCTTGGTTCTAGTGGGTCTGATTTTTTTTTTTTTTTTTTTTTTTTGCCTGGCTGTTTCTTGTTCAGCATCATATACCAAATACTGTCACCTATCATTTGGCTCATTGTGTGTTCAGGTGGGCTGGTGGTGTGTTCAGGTGGGCTGGTGGTGTGTTCAGGTGGGCTGGTGGTGTGAGAGTAGAATGGTTCATTATGTGAAACACAGCAGCATAAATACAGTAGTAGTAATAGTAGTAGAATTTTTTACAAATGGTTTAATGGTTGTTTTTGGATTTAACAAATACAGTAAAACAGAATTTCATATATAGGCAGAGAGAAGAGTCCTAATATGAATAATAAGGTACATCAAACACTGACATAATTTAGCATACAGTACCTTCTGGTGGTCTATCAAACACCTCACGCTGGTTAACAGTTGGCATCATGGAGTGTAGCGGGATCACTAGATATTTACCTGTAATGCAATACATCATTTCATATAATACGAAGTGATATATATTTTAACAAAAAATGTATTTCTCTTTCTAGATTTGGCAAAAATAAAGAAATTGTATTTTAAAGTCAACCCAATGAATATGGATACAAATATCTATAATGATGTTTATTTAATTATGCAATATTTCAATGCCAGTAGAACAACCACCCAAAGATTACATAATTAATCTGCAGAACATAATAAAGCAGTTTTAATTAAATATTTAAAAATCCAGTGTTGAATGTAACAAAATGCCCGTTTCCGTGCCATACTAATTAGTGCTATCAGTCGCGGAGTTTTATTTGCCTAGCGGGAACCATAAGCCAGAGCCAGGTCCCCTCAGAGGCCCAGGGAGCAATGGCCCCTTTACATTTAAAGGTTATCATCTTTGCCATCACCTAAGGAAGACACCCAGAAAGAGAAGCAAATAAAAACAAACCACTGTATGGTTAAAAACGAGACGACTGCAGCCCAAAAATTGTCAAAAGAACTCCTTAACAATGAAAAACAACCAAAATTTTGTGAAAATAGTTTCCTGCTAGTTTGGTTCACCCCCACCCCCTCGCTATGGGAAGGAGGTATCTGGCCTGGATCAGCTGGGCCCCACACTGGCCAGTTCGAGAATGATAAAATACGCCAACAACCTGTGGAGGGTGTCAGGAAGCCTCCGGGACTCACCTAGAAACTGGTGTTATATTACATTCAACACTGGATTTCTGTGGGAAAGCCCCCATCGCCTCCCTGAATTAACTACCCACAGAGAAGGACAAAAAAAAAAAGGCCACCTACCAAGGAGGTGGTAGCACCACAGGTATCAAGTTGAAGGCGACACTGACAGCCACAACACAAGAGCCAAAGCTACACAATACTGCAGATGGCTAAAGATGTTAGCAAGATACCTGGCAGCCAAGACCCTGTTTGCCCTCCAAAACCCCCCATGCTCAAATATTGGCCCAAAACATTATTAAACACAGCTTTCAGAGCCGTATACTTCCGGACATCATGACCACAAGGATAGACCATGGGCTGGCTAGCTTTAATGACAATGTGGACAACCTGAGAAATACATGCTCTAGCAGAGGGAACAAGGGAAAACGGATCAACCCATATGTCCACCGAAACAAAACCGGTGGCCCGAAGGTAGCGGCGCAAAGCCACCAATGGAAAAGTGCATGATGCATCCCCCGGCAGAACCAACCAAGCATCCAAAACAAAAGGATTCCTTCAAAAGCCTGCCAACTCATTCATTGCCAGAAAAGAAGTAGCTGGCTGCAACCTAATAAAACAATCACCAGAACTAAAACAACAATACCCCCAGCACTGGAGCAGACCCATCCGACCACAGGAGGCCAAGGAAAGGAAAAACAATTCTGGACCGAAGGGGCCGCTACACTGTGGACGAAATGAAAATTACTAGCCTCGGAACAGGGAACCAAGAAAACCAAGTCAACCCACAACAAGTCCACCGAAGCAGAAGCGGTGACATGAAGGTAGCAGCGAAGAGTTGCCACTAACCAGATGTTAAGTGATGTAATACAGCTGGAGACACCAGACATTGTTGTACTCACGGAGACAAAACTTAAAGATGATATATTAAATGAGGTCATATTCCCAAGGGGCTACTTAGTTTGGAGACGGGACAGAAAATTTAGTTAAGGAGGTGGCGTTGCTGTGCTGGTGAAAGAAGAACTAAAGGTAAATGAAATAATGGTTGCCAATCCACGAGTACAGTAGTTGACATAATAGCACTAGAGATCTGCAATCAAGATGATAAACTAGCAATCATAAATGCATATAGCCATGCAACCATATAGTTGCACCGCCATGCAACACATGGGTAGAGGAGCTGGATAATAAACGTGAGGTCTTATAACAATAATGAGAGAGATTAGAGCGAGAGCTGATAAAGATAGATCACGACTGTTGATAGTCGGCGACTTCAACTTGAAATCCATAGACTGGGAGGCAAATGAAGCTAGAACAGAGGATTTTTGGACTTATAGATACATAAACCTCATCCTGGAAACATTCATGTTTCAACATGTTAAACAAGCTACGAAGATTAGGGAAGGGGATGTTCCCTCCATGCTGGATTTGATATTTACCAGGAAAGAGGAAGAGATATTTGACATTCAGTACCTCCCTCCCTTGGGTAAAAGTGACCATGTCTTTTTGTGAATAAGGTATGCAATGCATTACAATCTGGAAGAAAATGAAGTTTAAATAAATAAAGGCTGCTTCCTGGGGATGTGTAACAAAAAGGAGGCCTGATCGAGGACCAGGCCGTAGGGACACGGCCTGGCACAAGCTCATGTGTGCACGTGCATATGTGCACAAGCCCCAAAATCATCTCGAGATAACCTCATATCAAGATAGGTAATTACACACAAGTGAGAAGGTGGTGGAGGCCAAAACCATTAGTAGTTTCAAAGAGTTATGCGACAGAGTACTAGGAAGATAGGACACCAAGAGCATAGCTCTCAACCTGTAACTACACTCGACAATTACAAGATAAACTTGCACATACCTACCATATCTAGTGTTAATTTTCTTTAATTTTGCATAGCTTTCAAATTTCTGCATTCATTGCTAACTACTCGAAGGCATCTGACACAAGCGTAATAACTACTTTCTATACTGAAGTTAACTCCAAGTACCTATGCTATAATTATGCTCCAGATATGCATCACTTTCAGTTACCATTATGTCTTCAAGAGTCTTAACTCTGTCACACTGAAGGAGGGGCTTATGTTTCTTAAATGTAAAACATCACCAGAGTTATTATTAAAGAAAGTAGATTTGTGTAAGGAGAAAGTGTTATATACCATTGTGTTACAATAATATGTGCTCTACTTTGAAAGTAACATGCTTTCAAACATTTCTGTTCCAAAAGCATAGCAAATACAGAAGGAATTCATATCTTATTATTTTATTACTGGGAAAACAGCAAGGATACTTACGTCCACTTAGCCTTCTGTCCTCTTGTATCATTGTATGCAACTTAGAAATCTTGTCCCATCCAGTTAGAAAGACCAGGACAGCACCTGGAGGCTTCTGAGCAATGTAATGCAACAACTCCAGTATCAAGTCCAAGTTTAGTTCTTCACTGGTCTTCTTATATAATTCATTTAGAGTTTGGCTAGAGTATTTCTGAGTTTGCTCGAGGTTTCTAGCCATAAAATACACAAAGTTAATGTTGTCATTTTTCCTTTAATAAATACAGTACTTAAATTTAGTTAAATAATAATAGTTCAGACTATAACTGAAAAAATGAGCACTGAATGTAATGAAAAGCCTCTTTCTGGATGTGCTCTGGTGACTCTCTGAAGCTATCTCGCCAAAGTGCCAGTATCACAGGCACTCAGAATAGTGTGGAGGAAGAGCTTGTACACGGGGGAGATACCAGATGCACTTAAAGCAGCAGACATAGCCCCTCTACACAAGGAAAGGAGCAAAACATTGGCAAAGAATTATAGACCAGTTGCACTAACATCCCACATAATAAAAGTACTGTATTCAAGAGTGTGATCAGGAGTCAGGTCACTAGTTTCATGGAAACCGATGACCTCCACAATCCAGGCAAACATGGATTTAGAGCGGGAAGATCATGCCTCTCACAGATCACTACGACAAAATCAGTGAGGCATTGAAGAAAAACAGAATGCTGATGTGGTATACATAGGTTTCACAAAGGCATTCGATAAATGTGACCATGGAGTGAAAGCACACAAAATGAGGTCAATGGGAATAACTGGTAAAGTAGGACACTGGATATTCAGTTTTCTATCTAACAGAACAAAAAGTAACAGTCAACTATATAAAATAGAGTCCAAGCCCATTTAAAAGCTCTGTACCTCAAGGTACAATCCTTACACCACTGCTTTTCCTTATTCTCATATCAGATATAGACTCAAATACAAGGCACAGCTTCGTATCATCCTTTGCAGACACAAAATCAGCATGAAAATTACCTCTGCTGAAGACATTGAAAAACTACAAGCAGATATTAATAAAATTTTTGACTGGGCAGCAGAAAATAACGTGATGTTTAACCCTTAAGCTGCTAAAGGGTCCTGAGAAGATTTACACCTGTGCACAAGAAAAAAAAATTACAAAAAAAATGTTTTCGTCTTTTCGAGGCACTGGTAAACTGAGGCGCGATCGCTGTACCACCACATGCCAGGTCGGCCCATACGTGTATCAACAAACTCATTTCCTGAGGCAAAGTTCGTAACCCGATTCAAATTTTCCAAAGAAATTGGGCTCGTAACCCATAAAGCCCGTAAATAGGGGCATTCATAAGCCGAGGTGTCACTGTATTTGCTTGGCATATTAAATATCCAAAATAAATCACAAATTCAAATACGCAATGAAATCACAATAGTATGATATATTAATGAGAAAATCTTTGGAGAAGGGCAGAGGAATTGAACCTGTGTCCCAGGTTAATCCCCTAACAAATGCATAACCCATTGGATCATGACGTGGTTAAAAGTAATACATCTGGCCTGGTCAGACCAGACTGCAGGAATAATGATCCTCGAAATCAACAACAGGTAGTTATGTGGGGTGATCTAGGATGTCTCTTCTACCGGCCTGCTCAAAAGATTTTCTCACAAATTCAGATTTCAACAACACAGTAACAACTACTATACAGAACATACAAGCTGAGGGAAGGGAAATAGAATGCACGAGAAGAGCCATTCCTTACCTGATATAAGGTTCAATCATCTCTTCAAATTCTCTGTTTACTTTCTGTTCTCGTCGTTTCCAAATGGGTATTTGCTTTTCGTCTTCAAATGTAAATCTGTAGAAAAATTATGAATACAAATCAAGTAAAGCACCAAATAAAACAATTACTAACTGCTCATACTTGAGTCTGGTATACAAACCATGATCTCTACTTTTCCTGTTCCTAGCTTCAACAGCCCTTTACAGAGAAGCCTATTGTGGCTCCCTGAATCTAATATCTTTGACAGTGTGTCATACTGCTAGGTTCCAGCAGTTGCAGAGTCCTGTGGCCTACCGGGGACCAGTACCAAAGCCTGGCACCCCCCGCCTCACAGAGGCACAGATTGATGGCCTTCATGCATAAGTTATGCATGTATGCTACCCAGTGGGAAAGGCACCCAGGAAGTCTGCAAAACAAAACAAACCACTTCTGGCAGTTACAAACCTTGCCTACTATTTTGCATAGAGAGAGTTGATGTAGCAATTTGGCTAGAGGGAGAGAATTATATAAAAACAAGGGGGGTTAGAAATCTGTTAAAGGTGGCGGCTGTCAGCCGTTTGCTGGTAGAGCATAGTTTGGAAATATCCCTCCGCCCACCAAAGCAGCACCTTCAGTTATTCACAGATTACAGATAACCAGTACTATCTATATATAAACATTTTGTAAATTACAAATGGACTCTCTTATATGGGCTACCAGTAGGGTATTGTTAACACTTTCCCGTCCCCGGTGCATGCTTTCTAGCCTACCTTAAGGTGCGCCGAGCGTTTCCCGTGAGCGCTCAACCAGACTCAAATTTGTATACTCTTTTAAGTTTATTCACCTCAATTTTCGTGTTACTGCGTTCATTTTAGTATCTTTTTGTTCGCAATAGAATTACCTACAGGGATATATATGTATGAAGTTCAAAAGCCGGGCGTGTCACCTGCACCAAACTCAAATCGGCCGAGGGTTACCCGTGAGCACGCAACCCCACCAAAATGTGTCAACTCTTTTCGGGATTCTCACCTCAATTCTCATGCTACGTTGTTCATTTTGTTATCAATTTCTTCGCAATAAAATTCCCTATAGGAGCATATGCATATAAAGTCATATCCCAGCCCCTCCCCCCCCCCAATGCTACTAAGTGGCTCCCAGAACTGAAGGACAAGAGCTACGAGGAGAGGTTAGACGTTAAATATGCCAAAACTAGAAGATAAAAGAAAAAAGAGGAGATATGATCACTACGTACAAAATAGTAACAGGAATCAATAAAAATTGATAGGGAAGAATTCTTAAGACCTGTAACTTCAAGAACAAGAGGACACAGACGCAAGCTAAGGAAACAAAGATGCCACAAAAACATTAGAAAATTTTCTTTTGCAAGCAGAGTGGTAGACGGTTGGAACAAGCTAAGCGAGGTGGTGGTGGAGGCCAAAACTGTCAGTAGTATCAAAGTGTTGTATGATAGTACTGGGAAGACGGGACCCAAGAGCATAGCTCTCATCCTGTAACTACACTTAGTTACCTAAGTGTAGTTACACAACACATGATGCACCCCCAGCTGAACTAAGCAAGCATCCACAACCAAAGGACCCCTCCAATAGCCCACTGTCTCACTCTTCGCCAGAAAAGAAGGAGCCAGCTGCAACAGAACAAAACGATCACCAGGACCAATAGAACAAAACCCTCATTGCTGGAGAGGAGCATGAACCTCCCAAACCCTACCACCAGAAGCCAAGAAGTCTCATCACAATTAAACACTTAGTGTGGGATACCTACCACAACATCTACAAAATCTTTAAATTCGTCAACAAATCTTTCAGCTGCAGGTTTGTCTGAGCTGGCAGCCTCCCCATGCTTCACAACATCTGAATGCCCCTTCTTTTTCTAAATTTCTCAAACCATCCCTCGAGGTTATCTTGAGATGATTTCGGGGTTAGCGTCCCCGCAGCCCAGTCCTCGACCAGGCCTCCTTTTTGTTACACACCCCCAGGAAGCAGCCCGTAACAGCTGCCTAACTCCCAGGTACCTATTTACTGTTAGGTAACAAGGGCATCAGGGTGAAAAACTTTTTGGCCATTTGTCACCGCCTCCACCGGGGATCGAACTCGGAACCTCAGAACTACGAATCTGAAGCGCTGTTCACTCAGCTGTCAGGCGTTCACCTGTGCCTGTGTCAGGCGTGTCAGGTACAGCTGTCAGGCTGACCCTTGCACCTGGGCACAAGGGTCAAATGTCCCTTGCTCGCCTTAAAACTCTTTCATATCTGCATCACTTGTTACAGGGATTTTCTTTAAAAGGCCTTAAACATTAATTTGAACAAAGGCCAGCCCAAGACATTACCAAAAACAGCTGACAAAGCCACGAACTGACGAACATCGTGGGCACGGGGATAGACCACAGGCTGGCTGGACTGAATAATCCTGCGGACAACCTGCGAGACCCGCATCCTGGAACAGGGTTCACCCAAAGTGCATCCCCTGCCACAGAAGATGTGGTGCGCAAATAACTGCAAAGAGCCGCAACAGAACACAAACATGATGCATTCCCGGCCAAACCAACCAAGCATCAACAACCCAAGGACCCCTCTGGAAAGTAACAGTCTCATTCTTCGCCAGAAAAGAAGGAGACAGCTGCAAACGAACAAAACGACCACCAGGACCGAAAGAGCAGAAATCCCTGCACCGAAGGAGAGCATGACACTACCCGACCTAGCCAACCCCGCCCCCCACCCGAGGCTAATGCCAACATGAAAAGGATCCTTAGAAAAACTGTCCTGAACCAAAGGGGCCACCACAAACCGAGAAAAGAGAGCACCCGGTCAAATGACCAGGACGGTTCAGGCAGCGCATGACCAGGCTGGAGGTGAAACAACGCTCGAGAAAGCTTGCAAAACGGAGCAGAAGTGACATTCACCCCGAACGCAAGCTGAAGCGGCTCCGCCAGCGCCACACGATACAATACAACAGTATTCAGCATAAGATGATGATCCTGAAACAACTAAAAGAGAAGGGTCACAACAACCCGATCGGAAATCAAAGACAAACTACAATAAGTCAAGAAGTGTCAAAAGGACCGCCAGGAAACTTCATACTGCTACTACTACTTCCCTGGCAAGTCTCCAAGTGAGCCAGGACCTGGAGCAACAACTGAACCAGGAGGGAGTAGGGGAAGGGGGTGTGAAGAGGTACAGGTAACCCCACCTTAACCAGTCCAGTTGAAGGCATTGACCCCAATGGCCTCGCAGTCAGGGAAATGCGCCACATATACAGGAAGACACCTCGACCAAACCGACGCGAAGAGGTCCATGTCTGGGAGCCCGAACGTCCGGCAGAACAGAATGAGTCGGTGTCAACCGTCCATTCCATGGGCAGGGGAATGAAATAGGACAGGTCATCCGCCAGTACGTTGGACACTTCCTGGACATGAACTGCCAGGAGAGCCAAACCCCGAAAACTCAGCAGGCGAGTCACCCAAAGCGACCAGCCCCAAATAGCAAAGGACCACATCGAACCCCCTGCAGTTCCAACAATGAACCACAGGGAAGCCATCTGAATGGAGCTGGATCATCGATCCATGAGCGAAGCGAACCCTCTGAAATGAATACCAAACCGCCGCACCATGCTGTGAGCCCAACAGAAAAACGGACCCCACCGACACTGGCCGGCCTGGTGAGCACTGGTCACAAAGGCCCAGCCGAAAGACAACGCATCCATGAACACATCGAGCGAGGGCACAGGTAGGCGTCACGGCACAGAACCCTCGAAAAACCTGAAGAGAAAGCTGGCAATGCAGCAGCCAATGCAAGGCCCCTGGGGTCCGAACCCAGCGATCACGAGAGCAGCAGAAGGGATGTCCCCAAAGGAACCAGAACAGCTGCCAAAACCAGACCCGACCCAACGGATAGACCAGCACAGCGAAGATCAGACTCCCGCACAGCTGCTCGAACAACCGACGTGTGACCCGGGTGCCCTCCTAAAACAGCCGAAGGCGGGACCACAGCCATAGCAACACCGCGGGAGGAAGAGACAAGGAAGCGGTCCGAGAGTCCCACACAAGTCCCAGCCAAGTCTGAACCTGAGAGGAAACCAACTGAGACTTCCTCCAGTTCACCAAGAACCCAAACTGGGCGACCTGGGAAAGAACCAAATCCCTGAAGAGCAGGCATGCGGACTGGCTGGAAACCCAGACCAGCCAGTCATCTAGGTAAGCCAGAACCCGAACCCCAGACACAAATGGGCCACCACGACCCGGGTAAGGCATGTGAACATGCCAGATTCAAGCCAAATGGAAGGCAACGAAAACGGTAAGCCTGCCGCCCCACGACAAAACTGAGCTAGTCCCTGAACCCCCAGATGAATTGGGACATGCCAATACACATCCCAGAGGACCAGGGACACCATCCAAGCACCCGACTCCAAAGCAGGTGAACCTGAGACAGAGTGGTCATCCGAAAGGAGGGGCAAAATACCCAGGGGGATCAGATGGAATAGGCCCAGAATGAACCCCAGGTCTGCACAGTCTCATTTAGGAACTGGAAACAGGCGGGAAACCCACCTGTCAGACACCGTCATTTCAACCACGCCCAAGCGAACCCACTCCAGGATGACCTCACAGAGCATAGGGGAAGAGGCCTGCCCCGCCAGCCCCGATACCCCTCGAAGGAGGAGGAGCCACCCAACGCCACCACAGGCTGGAGGAAAAGACCCGAAATGCCCACGAATCGTGGGACCAGGCGAGAGCAAACAGTGTGAGCCTTTCCCCCATCACTCCTTGAAGTTACTTTGAAATGTTTCCAGGGCTTAGCGTCCCTGCGACCCGGTCATTGACCAGGCCTCCTCGTTGCTTGACTGGTTAACCAAGCTGTTTGACGCGTCTGCTCGCAGCCTGACGTATGAGTCACAGCCCGGTTGATCATGTATCCTTTGGAGATGCTTATCCAGTTCTCTCTTGAACACTGTGATGGATCGACCAGTTATGCCCCTTATGTCTTGTGGAAGAGTGTTTAAGTCTCGGGCCTCTGATGTTGATAGAGTTCTCTCTCGGAGTATTTGTTGCACCTCTGCTGTTCAACAGGGGTATTTTGCACATCCTTCCATGCCTCCTGGTCTCATGTGATATTTGTGTGTATTTCTTAGTTCTGTGTTTCTTGCATCAATGTTGATGGGGCAAACCATGAACGGGCTGACAATCCTTATGAGAGCCCGACCGATGCTCAGAGAGATCACTGTGCCGACCAGACACCAACGGTTCCTCAGGAGAGGCCGGCCCCAAATCTGGCACAACTAGCTTATGACGACCGAAAGAACCCCCAAGCCCTGGCACAACCCTTCCAGGCAGGATCACCACGGCCTTCCCTGGAGAACCAACAACTCCGACATAGGACGGCAACTAAACGAAGCCGCCTGAACAAAATGCACCATCGCAGACTCAGCTAACAGCAACGGACAAAAAGAGGACGAAAATCTAAGAGCCAGGGGCCCCAAGCGGTTTCCAAAAAGTGGACGAGCACCGTCTGCTGGCACATGAGGCATGAAGCAAAGAACAGAAACACCACTTCCTTCAGAATCAAAGCAAACAACTTCAACAAGGCAGCTGACGCCCAAGCTGCCGAGGCAAGCACATCGGATGCAGGCCCGGAAACAAGCTCCTCCATATCCCCCCTTGAGCCAGTCTGAAGACATCTCCAGGAGGAAAAAGAAGGGCAAGACTGAAGCCAAATGCCCACGAACACGCAAATCCCCGGCCACCAGGGACGCCAAAAGGGAGGGAACCTGCACATGAAGCTGGACCTGGCCGATATCATGAGGAAACACAGAGGAAAACAAGCACACATTGAGGTGCTCAAGCTCACCACCCCCTCCAGATAAACCAGAATGACTGTAGTCAACTCCTGCCACTCCAGCGTGCGGGTCTGACAGAACGCATGCCATGCTCCAAATGAAAAGAAAGGACAGTCTGCCAGCAAGGAAGACTGGCACCTCCTAATGTACCCAGTAAAGAAAAGAGGAGCCAAACTCAAAAGGAAATGGATCCATTATTGAGGCATAATCCTGGTCTCGCAGCAGGTAAGCCGCAAGGGCCTCCCGCACCTACCTCAGCGCGGGATGCAGGAAGCCAAAATCCCCCAGAAGGAGTGAACCGAGGAACCCAAGGGAACCCCGGGAGGAGTCAAACTCATATCAAACATGTACAGGGAAGGGGGAGGTTGGAACACCCCTCCCCCTGTAACAACAAGCCCCGTGCCGAGGGTACTAACACCCCAAGCGGGGTAAAACGAGGCCCAAGCCCCTCCCATGTCAACTCCTCCCCAGCCCTGGGCTGTTCCACGTCACGACCCGGGGCCAAGCCATCCTCCAAACCTTCTGCCTCTGAAGAAAACGAAGACTTCACCAGAAAACCAGGGATGCAGGGGTTACCTTGATACCTTGCTTTGAGATAATTTCGGGGCTCAGCGACGCCGCGGCCCGGTCGTCGACCAGGCCTCCTCGTTGCTGGACTGGTCAACCAGGCTGTTGGACGCGGTTGATCGCAGCCTGACATATGAGTCACAGCCTGGTTGATCAGGTATCCTTTGGTTTTTTTTGTCAAGTTCTCTCCTGAACACTGTGAGGGGGTCGGCCAGTTATGTCCCTTATGTGTAGCGGAAGCGTGTTGAACAGTCTCGGGCCTCTGATGTTGATAGTTCTCTCTCAGAGTACCTGTTGCACCTCTGCTTTTCAACAGGGGTATTCTGCACATCCTGCCATGCCTTCTGGTCTCATGTGATGTTATTTTTGTGTGCAGGTTTGGGACCACCCCTTTACTATTTTCCACGTGTAAATTATTATGTATCTCTCCCGCCTGCGCTCAAGAGAATACAGATTTAGGCCCTTTAGTCGGTCCCAATAGTTTAGATGCTTTACTGAGTGGATTCTAGCAGTCAAGGATCTCTGCACGCTCTCCAGGTCAGCAATATATCTAGCTTTGAAAGGGGCTGTCATTGTGCAGCAGTATTCCACTCTAGAGAGCACTAGCGTCTTTAAAAGTATCATCATCGGTATAGCATCTGTAGTGTGAAAGGTTCTTGTTATCAAACCTGTCATTTTTCTTGCAGTTGTGATGGCTACTTTATTGTGTTCTTTAAATGTAAGGTCTTCCGACATCAGTACACCCAAATCCTTTACATTGCCTTTCCGTTCTATATTATGATTTGACTGAGTTTTGTACATGGTTTCCGTTTTTATATTTTTATTTTTTCCATAGCGCATGAGCTAAAACTTATCTTTATTAAACACCATATTATTTTCTGTAGCCCATAGAAAGACCTGGTTGACATCTGATTGGAGGTTTGCCGTGTCCTCTATGTTGTCTACTCTCAAAAATCCTAGTGTCACCTGCAAAGGATGATACAGTACTATAGGTTATGTCCTTGTCTATGTCCGATATGAGGATGAGAAAAAGTACTGGAGCAAGCACAGTACCCTGGGGGACTGAGCTCTTTACTGTTGATGGTCCAGATTTTATTTTGTTGACTATTACACATTGGGTTCTATTAGTCAGGAAATTGTAGATCCATCTGCCTATTTTTCTGGTAATTCCTTTTGAACGCATTTTATGTGCAATAACACCATGTGACCATGGTCACATTTGTCAAAGGGGGCCCATTGGCGCTACCCAAAAGCCCCGGCAGGAGGAACAGGCTTGAATGCCTCTGCCGCCGATCCAGAAGGGGCAGTCACCGAAGTCAGGGACTGTATCACCAAGGCAGGCAGGCAGTACTGAGGCAGTACCACCAAGAAAACCCTGCCCTGACTCTGAAACCCTTAGACATTTGATAGCCAAGGGGAGGGGGAAGCCAGGGAAAGGGGGAAGGAGAGAGGGGAGCAGGATGAACCACAGCAGGGAAAGGACAAGAGGGTGCAGACGAAACCAAAGTCGAAGCAACTAACACACCCAAGTCCGGGTCCCGATAACCAAAGCAGCCAACATCAGCAACCAACCTCGCCCACTGCAGCAACCTAAACAGCACATGCAACGCTGAAGCAGTTTGCACCCGAATATAAATATCAGTGGACTAGGTGAATTGGAGTACAAGCAAGAACCACCACTTGTAGGACTTCGGGTCAAAGATTTCATTGACCCACCAGGCAGCATGGCAGAGGCAAAGGCGGCGAGTGTCACCCTGAGACAAGGGGACAGAACAACCTTCAAATTGGCACGAAGCAAGGCGAGACTCAGAGGTCTCTTCCATCGGACCAATGAGCCCCAATGGGGGTTTCCATGGCCCTTAAACTGACTGCTAAGGAAAGCCCAGGCATGGTACTGCTAACCGGTTATCCCAAAGCTACCAAGCAAATAAACTAAAAGCTGAACCCCCACGATGTGTGCAATCATGTGAACCCAGAACTACCGACTGACTGTTGCCACAGTTTAATATATACACATCAGCCCAGTACAGCTCCAGGGAGTAAAGGGGTTCAACAAATTTGAAAATTTCTTTCAGATCCAGATCAAAATGTAAGGGGGAGGCTGCCTTATAATACTGCTCCTCTACCCTTCAAAAATATAGTAAGCAACAAATATTAAACACTATTTACCCAGTAAGTTCAAGGACATCCTCAAGGTAGTATTCTTTGACAGGGAAGGTAAAGCCTGGAATATGCAACATCGGGCAACCTCCATAGTACTCTGAGAACTGGTCAGCATTGAGCGTAGCACTCATCAGTATAATCTTCAGATCTGAGCGCTGTAAAGAATCATATCATATATAACTATATAGAAAATGGAAATCAAACAAAATATAAATTTAGTGTATATTATTATTATCAAGCAGTATCCATTTTCTATAAATCAATGAAACATTATTAGCCTTCAAATTATCACTTTCAAAATTGAGAGTAAAATCATCAAAGTAATAATGCAAAATTCTGCATCCATTATTTTGCAGTCACATAAATATAAAGTGTTGAATGTAATAATATGGCTTTTTCTGGAAGCTATTTCAGACCCTCAGAAGCTCCCTGGTGCTTAAGTGCTGGTAATACCAAAAGACCCCGAACCCTGGAACAAGAGATGCAAGATTAAGCAAGCCGAGCAATCCCCTGAGCAGCATGTGAAACACGCAGAGATTACCACCCAACAGCAGCCAGCACACACCGTCAAAAATCTAGGAATGTACAAGCAAAGCAGCATAGAGTCCCAGCCAATGGGGAAAAAGATCGAGAATTAGGAAAAGATAGCTAAGCAGTGCCCAGAGCAGGAGCATGAGACACAGCAGGCTTGGAGAGTACACTCAAGAGCAATAAGCATACTGCCCTCGGCGAAGAAGGACTGTAACCCTGTAAAACAGGACAAGGACATGCCTGGCCATAAGGAACCAAGAAAACTTCAGGGTCAGCTATGATCAGAGTAGGGAGGCCCACAGTTGCTGCCACAAGGGCAAAGACCAACTACGATCACAAGGATAAAGGCCTAGAACAGCCCATAGGGAAGTGAAGAAGGCAGCCATGCATCCAACAGGCAGAATGATGGAGGCTACTTCAAGTGGCAGAAAGGGGCCCAAGGTCCCGAAATCAATCCGCACCCCAGCCCCGGGAACCTCACTCCGAGGGCCCGGAGCAGAGCCGTCCTCCAACCCCCCTGCCTCTATACAAAAAGCAGGAGCCACCAAAAGAGCAGGGATGAAGGAGGCCTACTGGTCAGACCCAGAAGCTCCTGCCAGAGAACCAGGCTCGAATTTCTCCACTGCCACCCCAGAAGGGGACTCCCCCGACACTGCACGAGTCTCAACACTGCTTAGACCCAGCACCGACTCCTAAACCCTCAGACGTTTTGGAGCCGGAAGCAAAGGGGGAGGAACCGGATGCACTACAGAAGGGAAAGAAAGAGGAGGGGCGGATGGAATCAAAATCAAAGCAACTCCCACCCCCAAGTTCGGGTCCCTAAAACCAAAACGGGGCAGTCTCGGAGCATCTGGGAAAGCAACCAACATATCACTTTACAGCAACATAAACCTAGCATGCAATGCAGCCACTGCCTGCACTTTCATATCATAATCAGTAGCTTGGGTGAATTGGAGCACTTACAAACAACAAACATGGCACAACTCGGGGTCAAAAGAAACACCGACCCTACAGGCAGCATGGCGGAGGCACCACCGGTGATTGTCACCCTGAGACATATCTTGAGGTTATCTTGAGATGATTTCGGGGCTTTTAGTGTCCCCGCGGCCCGGTCCTCGACCAGGCCTCCACCCCCAGGAAACAGCCCGTAACAGCTGACTAACTCCCAGGTACCTATTTACTGCTAGGTAACAGGGGCATAGGGTGAAAGAAACTTTGCCCATTTGTTTCTGCCTCGTGCGGGAATCGAACCCGCGCCACAGAATTACGAGTCCTGCGCGCTATCCACCAGGCTACGAGGCCCACAAATGGGGGACAGAGCAACTATCAACCTCGCACGAAGGGAGAGGGGACTCATGGGATCACATCCATCAGACCTCGGAGCCCTCGTGAGGTTTTCGAGGGACCTTAGCCTTGGTAACACGCTAAGAGAAGCCCAGTCAGGGTACTGCAATCTGGCACCCAAACTACCAAGCAAACTTCTAAAAGCTGAATCCACCCAGGATGTGTGCACTGATGGGGGACCTGGCAGAGGGTACCACCAAAAACACAGAAATGTATATAAATACCCTAAATATAGATAGGGGGCAACCAACCAAAGTCAGACCCCTCCACCAGGCAGGACAACAAAAACAAAAGAAAAACCCTGCAAGAGGACAACGTACCCAGGAGGAACAGAGCCGGCCGCTATAATAGGTGATAGTTAGCTGTGCAGTAACACCCCCCCCCCCCCCCACCCGTACCAGTGACGAAAACTACCTCCTACCCAGAGGCCAACAAAGGCAACAAAAACCCCAGCTGACTCCAAGGGCGGCCAAGTACCTAGCAGTAAAAGACACAGCGAAGATAGATCCCAAGGTGACTTGTGGAAGGTGGCCCCAAGGGCAGAGGGCAGTACCTACAGAGTACCTAGGGAAGGAAACCCTAGGTACTCTGTATGCAGCCCGAGTACCAAAGAATATTACTCCTGGCTCTCACACCACCTGTAAGAACAGACCACGCCACAAGGCACGGAAACCGAGGCAAATGCATGAGCCAGAGGCACAAGACCACACCAGTAGTACATCAGCCAAGAGCTGAAGGGTGGATCACCAGTATTAGGGTCTGGGGCTCCCGGGAAGTGGGGGAGGGGTTGCACAGACAGCGGCAACGTGATGTCATGCTCGTTTGCTAATTTTCGTTTGGGGAGTTCTGTCCACACGTTCGGCTTTCGATAGCAATAATTTCTCCAAAATAGAAGTTTGTTTTGGGGCGCCTACCTTTCTGGGTGCCAGACCCAGTCGATAGTAGACATAAAATGCTCCCAACCACACGGGGGTTTCTATAGACCATTGCACCTCGTGCCTCTCTGAGGGGGGCCAGGTTCTGGCTCGTGGTCCCCAGTAGGCAAGAACTCCATACACATTGATGTCACAAAGCTAAACATATCCATATCAGCCTGGATAGCTCTGGGGGAGCCAACGGGGCTCCCCACAGAAAATCGTCATTTGAAAATAGGCGCCAAATTTAGACAAAAAAAATTTATAACTCCAAACGTTTAGGGTTCATGAAAAATCCATTCTAGAGTGATTGTAGAACAGATAGCTGTGCACACTATATGTAGATATGGTGATAATCAGTCAGACACTGGATTTTTTTTGCTGATTACAGTAGACTCTAGTTTTGAAGATAATTGAAGTTGAATTATCAACAATAAGGTAGTTCTAATTCATTAATTTTCTTGTATGGTTTATTAAACATTGTTTAGTATTTGTACTGGAATATGTGAAAGTTGTAGGTCAATATGTGTTGAAATAAAATCAAGAAAAAATAACCCCCAAAAAGACAAAATATAGGAATAATTATAATGATTTTATGGATATATTTAGGGTATATTTTATACTGTATAAGTTAAAAAGCCCTAATCTGGTCCCTAATCATCAAAACAACTTAATGAGACAAAGAAAACAGTTCGAAATCTGTGAAAAAAATCAGCCAAAAAAATCAAAGTTCCAAGTTCTGCCAGTTGTAACCGATTTATTTGTTGACCAATTTCATTTTATCTTAACATAGTTAGGGACGGGTATGCACTCTCCAGGATGTAAAGGTTACAACAAAATCGGATCATAAACAAAGGAGAAAATAAAAAATACTCTAAAAATATAAGATTTTTGGACATTGGTGAAAGTAACATATTAACATTGGGTAATGTATTTATATGATATATAACAATATAGAGCATAATAACAGACTTATTCATTACTGTGTGTGTTATTATGTATTACTCAGCAATGCTATAAAGGCACCAGCTGTGTATCCACTTTGTGGACACTTTTTACTACTATTCTTCTTTGTGCGTCGGACAGGTGCCGGCATCTCTTAATTACTGCATTCTCTCTCTTTTCCAGTTAATAGGAGCTGTTCTCCTTATCAACAAAACGTTCTTCTTTTTAACAAAATCGTCTAAAATCATGACGTTGAAGCCAATAAGTTGGAGAATTGTTTAACATTTATTAGTAATTTTTACATAAATATTTTTTGCTTCTTGACCCCTAAGGCTGAGCAGCCTAAGGGTTAAACATGTTTTCTGCTGCCCAAATGAAAACATTATTAATATCAGCTTGTAATTTTTCAGTACTGTATCTTCAACAGAAGTAATTTTTCAACAAAAAAATCATGCTGATTTTTATGTCATCTGCAAAGGATGACATAAGGCTGTGACTTGTATTTTTGTCTATATCTGATATGTGAATAAGGAAAAGCAATAGTGCAAGGATCATGCTTTGAGGCATAGCTTTTCACTATGCTTGAACTATTTTATGTTTGATTGTTACTCTTTACATTCTGTTTGACAGAAAATTTAATATCCATCACCCTACTTTACCTGTTATTCCTATTGACCTCATTTTATGGAGTCACACAATTACAGCCTCTTCCATCTTGCCTTCGTCATTGTCTTGCCTTCGGTTACCAGACAAACCAGCGCTCGTTATTCTGCCAGCTGGCAGCATTGACACAGTATGCGAGTCACCAGGAGGAAAATAAATATCAACTAACTGGCTCTTAGAAGCCAATCTCTCCAGGTGCTCTAATGAGGGTTTAACACTGCTCGCTGACCAAAACCCACATAAGCAACTCATGCCCAGTTTGTGGTGTTTGGTTAATAATTCGGTCAAGGCCAACTTGTTTGTACAGTATATAATTTGTTCAACATCAATTTAACTTTCGTGTTTTCTTTTCATTGCTATTTTCATACAGGTGCAACTGCCAAGATTTGCAAGTCAAAGATTGAAGTCATTTATTTCCTGTTTCTTTATTTTGGAAGTAAATTTGTTATATTTTTCTTGAGTTTACTTGAATGCTTGCCCATATTTTCACACTGCAAAGGTCAAATATGGTTGTTTTTGTTTTTAGTGTTAAAGTGTGAGCATACCACCTGTTGGGTATTGCTGCAGTACCTTTTCACGAAACAATGGGCTATCACTCCATGGTCACTTTTATCAAATGCCTTGGCAAAGTCAATGTATACCACATCTGCATTCTGTTTTTCTTCTAGTGCATCAGTAATTTTGTCACAAATGAATTTAATTATTAGAGGAATTTAAAACATTTAAGGTATCGAACAGCTTATGCCACTCAATTTATAAAAGGATGACAATAAAGATATAAGGATTTGCTATGCAGTACATGTTCATGACACTCACCACTTTGATAAGGTCTTTGGCAATACAGATAAGAAAATCAGACAACATGTCTCTCTCATGTATTTCATCAAGGACAAGATGTGACACCTTTGCTAAGGTTGGGTCGCTCTGCAACCACTGCAACACAATACCCGTTGTGCAGAACAAGATAGATCCCTCGGTACGTGGCAGCACACTGAAATAATTTGAAAACTGTTAACAATTCTGTAATTAATAAAATAATTACAGATTTATTATTTCCATTTACTTATCTAGTGGTTTATCAATACATATCTATCCACATACAGTGGACCCTAATATACCAGCATAGCAATATTCCTGTAAAATGGCGTGTTATATACAAATGAGCTACAGTGTATAAAGCGAATAACAGGGAAAAAATTGGGTTGCATTCCCTGCCATGGCAGTTATATAATACAAGTACAGTGCCCTGATTTCAATTGTGTAAAGGTGTGTGAGTAGAGGTGCAAGTGTTGAGCATGTTATTTCAGTATCTAAATGTAGTTACAAGATAAGAGTTACATGTGTGGTGTCCTGTCTGCCCTATAATCTTTGTAATTTGATAAGGTCTTTTTTCCCCCCTTTTCCCCCCTCCCCTTTTTTTTATTCCTTTTTTTCAACACAATTTATACCTAATACCAATTACTATTAAGTTTTAGTCTAAGTGCCCCCCCCCCACACCTTGCCCAAAACGCTATGCGTATTAGTGGCTTTAGGTATTGTATGTACTAGCTCTATCTATAAATCCAACTATGTTTGTAAATCAACTATGAAGTAATGTTTTTGATGGTTTTAGCAATCTTTTTGATAAAGATAATGTACATATTTTATGGAGGAGCTACATATAGTGGCTCCCTGAAGCTATCTTGTTGAGATGGCATTTCCATACTGAGTCACATCAGCCATAGTGATCCTGTATGGCCTACCAGGGACAAGAGTCCGAACCTGGCCACCTCACAGAGGTAAAGGAAACTGGGTATAATCAGTATCCATACCAAGAAAGCATCTAGAAAGTAAGCAAAGAAATACAAGCAACTGCAGGGTTCATATAAAAGCACTGAAACATCTGACTGGAGGAGCATTAGTAGTGGAGGGTTCAGTTCTTGCACCAGTAATGTTCATTGTCCACATAAACAAGTCATGGGGAAGGACATGAGGTGACCAGCTCCTGCATTGTCCTAGCCAGAAGCTGGTCCACTCACGCCCCCCCCCCCGCCCATTGCTACCCACCCACCCACACTGACCACCCATCCTGCTACCCACCCACCCACACTGACCACCCATCCTGCTACCCACCCACCCACACTGACCACCCATCCTGCTACCCACCCACCCACACTGACCACCCATCCTGCTACCCACCCACCCACACTGACCACCCATCCTGCTACCCACCCACCCACACTGACCACCCACCCACGCTGACCACCCACCCATCAAATTTAATTTCCAACAGGCCATGATCACTCTTTCCTAAGGAAGGAAGGTACTGGATGTCAAATTTCTTCTTTCCTGGTGAATATTAGATCCAGTATTGACGGAACACCCCCTTCCCTCATTCTTGTGGCCTGCTTGACATGTTGATACATGAATGTCTCCAGAATGAAGTTTACAAATCTGTGTTTCCAAATGTCTTCCGCTCTTGCTTCGTAGGCCTCCCTACGTTCAGAAAAGGGTAAAGTGGACCAAGAATTTGTTTTCCACCTTGTGGACATAACAGTGCTGAACTGTTGCAACATATATTTGGTGAAATCAGGCAAGAGACCACCAATCTTGGCCAGGAAGGTAGTGTTGTGACAAAGGTTTGTGCACCAACAATATCTGAAGCAGCTCCCAACAGATTAGTTTGCAAAGATGCCCTTGCACTTCATAAGATTGATTACATACCAAGTTCATGAAAACCTGCAAAAGGTGTATGTGTGTTTATGAGCACACAGAACAAAGAGATAAGAAGTGAATATCTGTGTACACCTGGTGCATTGAATGCAAAGTTGCCTTGTGTTAAATGGATTGCTTCAGTGATTTTCACACACTCATGAAGTACTGAATGTGTAATATAGAGTATGACAGTGTAAATAGTGTTTAAATTTAATATTGAACAAGTAATATTGTGACAAATATTTTTACTGGACATACTAGTGACATATCACAGTTCTTTGGAACATCATGAATGTTCTACCCTGTAAATAGTGACAATTACATAGATATGAGATAAGGGGCTCCTCTCAGAAAAAAAAATACTTACCTGTACTGTGTTTGTTGACACAAGGACAGCATGTATTGCAGAAGAGTATGTGCATGTGATTGTTACTTACGCTTCCAAACGAATCTGGTAACCAACACTCTTCCCTAGCTTTTCTCCACGCTCATCAGCTACACGTTGTGAAACAGAAATAGCAGAAATACGTCTAGGCTGTGTACAGACAATGCGGCACGTAGATCCTTGGCCATCAGTAATGGCTTCTTCCAAAATAAACTGAGCAACTTGAGTAGTTTTACCACACCCTAAATTCAAATAAAATAAAAGGTTGTGAATTTCACTGCAAATATGTTTTGGTATATAATAATTTTACATATTTAAATAATTTATGTTACATAGAGACCATCCAAGTATTGTCAACTCCCGGTTTAATGCATAAATGCATTCACCAACTCCTCTCATAAAAATTTACCATATACAATTCTTTGCAAGGATCGTATGAGAAAAGACATACTGTGTAGTACTTCAAAATCAAGAAATTTATTACATAAGCAATTACAATTTGGTGTTCAATGAATATGATGAGCTACTTTGTGAGCAAGATGCTCAGATGGTCAAGTCATGTTCATTCAGCTGCACAAGACCCACGTCATAGGAAAGGGAAGGAGCGAAGAGACACGCATTGAGGGATTCCAAAGGGCCCCCAGAAAACCTACACAGTAGACACTTCCCGCCAATCAAATGTGTGAGTATGGCAAAACCCGTGCCAAGCCCCAAGGGAGAAACAACGGACAGTCCACTAACCAGGATAACTCCAGAACCTCGTAATGCACTCAATAAGAAGAGGAAGAACCAAATGCAAGAGGCTGGATCGACAACCAATGCGTAGACTGGGTCACGCAGGAGGTAAGCACCAAGGGGCTCCGAAGCCTCCGGGGGGAGGACACAAAAGGAAGGAAACCTTCGGAAAGACGAGGCCGAAGTGCCCAAAGGCACATGGAAATGCACCCTGGTGGGAGGGGGTGGGGTGTGCCATGCCTAGTTCAAACTCATACAGGGAAGGAGGATAAGAAAACTCCAACCCCCTGCAACAACAGACCCTTTGCCGAGGGCCCATAAAGGGTCAAACGACATCCAAAAGGTTCATTCGACTCCGCCTGAACCTAAGGAACCACAGCCAAAGCCCCAGGGCAGAGCACTCATCTATGCCCGGGAAGGGAAAGCAGAGTTCAGGAGAAAAACCTCAAAGGAAAGGGCCGTCTGGGAAGACCAAGAAGCTTCAGCGGGATAGATGTTGGAAATAACCAACAGCTTTCATTCATCATTTTGTATTTTAATACAAACCCATTTATATTAATAACAAGTAGTTACTAAAATTACTAACTTGTAGAATTAACCATAGTAATATTTTCATACTGCGCAATATTCTGCCAAATCTTTCCTACTGTGTGGTGGCGCCAGCTAGCCACAGAAAATATCTCCACATTTTGTTGGTTATCACATCCTGGTTGTTGGATCCTGGTTGTTGGATCTAAACAGAGTCCAGTTAATTACTTTCCTTTACTAAGGATAATTGCTTATTAATGAGTTTATTTACCTAGCATATTACTGCTTACTGGAATTCACTTAATTAGTTAGATTAACAACTCCAGTGGAAATTATTAAAATGTAAAATAATTCCACTTAATATTCCTCTCACTTATTTACGCAGTCTTGACAAACAGATTTACACTGCGAGAGATTATATTACAACATAATACATTTATTTGTGACGTAAATATTCGTCATACGCCCTTCTTTCCCTAATTAACTTCAAAATACATGAATTAATTTACACTTGAGGTTCCTACTGAGAGCAACACGCATGTGCAACCTGAGGAAAAGGGAGGGAGAAGCCAGCGAGAAGCGTGGCGTCCATATTGCCAAAGTTACCGTGTTGAGGAGCTCCTCTACATCGACTCATATTTACGTCATCCTTGCAGCAGCGGGTGCCAGAGTTCGAGGGTGTCTCCATTTACATTCAACACAAGTTTCAACAAGCGTAATGTTTCAATTTCCTACTGATGTTTGTTGATTGGTGCACTTTTAACAATTACGTGTAGGTTGTTCATCGTCAAATTACGCGATAACACTATCATCAGAGTTAGTTTAAATTTTGCCCATGCTCCCGCCTTTCAATCAGAAATAGTGGTATATTAACTCTGGCTTCGGTATTTTTTACATTCTAACTGATTTCAGTTGGAGTTGTAGCAGCGAGAGGAAGAATGACTTTCCATTCCATGTGCGTGCTCGGACAGCGTCTTACAGCAAGCGTGACGTCGTGACTGCCCCACACGTTTACAACCAATCCAACTGAACAGCTAAGCTGGCCCTACCCTACCTTGAGGTTACCTTGAGGCGATTCCAGGGCTTAGCGACTCCGCGGCCCAGTCGTCGACCAGGCATCCTCATTGCTGGACTGGTCAACCAGGCTGTTGGATGCGGCTGCTCACAGCCTGGTTAATCAGGTATCCTTTGGAGGTGTTTGTCAAGTTCTCTCCTGAACACTGTAAGGGGTTGGCCAGTTATGCCCCTTATGTGTAGTGGAAGCGTGTTGAACAGCCTCAGTCCTCTGATGTTGATAGAGCTCTCTCTCAGAGTACCTGTTGCACCTCTGCTTTTCAATGGGGGTATTTTGCACATTCTTCTGGTCTCATGTGTGTTTTTTGTGTGCTTTGGTCTCCATGTGATGTTATTTATCTCTCCCGCCTGTCAAGCAGATTTAGGCTTTGGGACCCAATAGTTTAGATGCTTTACCTCTACTAAATTTTCCACGTGTAATATTTCTCCAGCTTTGATGTATCTCTCCCGCCTGCGCTCAAGAGAATACAGATTTAGGCTCTTTAGTTGGTCCCAATAGTTTAGATGCTTTACCTAGTGGATTCTAGCACTAAATGATCTCTACACGCTCTCCAAGTCAATAATTTCTCCAGCTTTGAAAGGGGCTGTCATTGTGCAACAGTATTCCACTCTAGAGAGCACTAGCATCTTGAAAAGTATCATCATCAGTATAGCATCTCTGGTGTGAAAGATTCTTGTTATCCAACCTGTCATTTTTCTTGCAGTTGTGATGGCTACTTTATTGTGTTCTTTAAAGGTAAGGTCTTCTGACATGAGCACACCCAGATCCTTTACATTACCCTTTCGTTCTATGTTATGATTTGACTGTGTTTTGTACGTGGTTTCCATTTTTATATTTTCCTTTTTTCCGTAGTGCGTGACCTGGAACTTATCTTCGTTAAACACCATATTATTTTCTGTAGCCCATAGAAAGACTTGATTGACATCTGATTAGAGGTTTGCCTGTCCTCTATGTTGTCTACTCTCATAAAAATCCTAGCATCATCTGCAAAGGATGATACGGTGCTACGGGTTGTGTCCTTGTCTATGTCCGATATGAGGATGAGAAAAAGTACTGGAGCAAGCACAGTACCCTGGGGGACTGAGCTCTTCACGGTTGATGGACCAGATTTGATTTTGTCGACTATTACACATTGGGTTCTATTAGTCAGGAATTTGTAGATCCATCTGCCTATTTTTGCGGTAATTCCTTTTGAACGCATTTTATGTGCAATAACACCATGGTCACATTTGTCAAAGGCTCTTGCGAAATCTGTGTAAATTGCATAAGCGTTCTGTTTGTCTTCCATGGCATCTAGTGTCATGTCATAATGGTCCAGCAACTGCGACAGGCAAGAGTGCCTGTTCTGAAACCATGTTGTCCGGGGTTATGAAGATGCTGTGATTCCATGTATTCTGTGATCTTACTTCTTAGCACTCTCTCAAAGATTTTTATGATGTGTGATGTTAATGCTATCGGTCTGTAATTTTTTGCCTCTGCCTTATTTCCTCCTTTATGGAGTGGTGCTATCCCTGCTGTTTGTAGCATGTCAGGAATAATGCCAGTACATTTTCTAGGCTTTGTCTTCAAAGAATGTGAAGAATAGTGTTTTTTTACAGTTCTTGATGAATATGGAGTTCCAAGAGTCAGGGCCTGGTGCAGAGTGCATAGGTGTACTGTCTATGGCATCTTCAAAATCCAGTGGGGATAGGGTGACATCTGATATATGATTTGATGTTGGTATCATATCCATGAAAATTCCTTTGGGTTATCAATCTTCAGTGTGTTTAGTGGCTCGCTGAAAACAAAGTCGTACCGATTCCTCAGGATTTCGCTCATTTCTTTGTTGTCATCTGTGAAAGTTCCATCTCCCTTTCGCAGGGGCCCGATACTAGATGTGGTTTTTTATCTTGATTTTGCATAGGAGAAAAAAATATTTTGGATTTCTCTCTATTTCACTGATGGCCTTTTGCTCTCTTTGCCTCTCCTGGGTTTTGTAGGATTCCTGTAGCTTTAGTTCAATTGTTTCTATTTCTCTACCTAACCTTCTTCGCCGTTCTTGAGATTAGGTGTGACAAGTTGTTCCGCGATTCGTTTTCTTCACCTATAGAGGGAACAACGTTCCCGTTCCAATCTGCACTACTATATTTATAGTACAGTAGTCTATAAATCTACTATATTTATAGTAATTTATAATTCTCAGTAGAATACTAATATTTAGTTACATGAATGATCTTCCATTAAGATCACATTTTATTAATCATTTATATTTGTCACACATTATTTACTGATATCATTTCATATCTTAATTACCTATGTGTATGTACTGTAATATGATTTAATATTTACATTTCATACTGATGAAGAACTAGCATCAGATTATTGGTGCTAGGACGTAATCGTATCTTAGCGCTCGTACCCCCCAATTTGTGAAAGTGAATTTGACTCTTATTTCATGATAACACAGTCTTACTAAAATCCATTAGGACATTAGTTCTTGGAATTAATTTCTATTCATTTGCTCTCCTTAGTTTTCCACTTTTTCATAAGTGTGGACGGAACAATAACCATTGTTGATGGTGACGAACATCCCTAAATGTGTGTCCCTAAACATCAAACGGGGCAGTTCTGGGTCATTCAATCAGGCACACAACCTGGTCCACTGCAAAACAGAAACCTTGAGATGCAAAGCGGCTGCCACTTTATACCTATGAACTTGGGAGGACTAAGTCCCACATGACTCGGAGCTAAAGGTATCACCAACCCAACAAGCAGCATAGCAGAGGCAGAAAGTATAAACGTCACCAGGTGGCACAGGCGATGAACAACCCTTAAATTCGTACAAGGCAAGAGTGGATTCAGAAGAGGGATCTTCTTCTGGATTCTTTACCACGACATGGTAAAAGAATTGCAACCGGGATTGCTACTGCTCTCACACGGATCCTGTAGTCTCTCCGAGACACAAACCGGAGTATTACACAATTTCCAATGCACTCGGGCTCTGTCAACAAGCTATTCTACCTCTTCGCCCTTACTTCAATACACTCCAATTGCAATTCTTTTACCATGTCGTGGCTCAGTCGATTAAGACATGTCTGGGATCATCCTGGACATAAGTTCGAACCCTCATCACAGCCCTCGTGGATTTTATTCATTTTGGGTAAATTTTATATTCTCAAAGGACATCCTAGCACCATCACCCTGAAGCCCAACAGGGTAGGGATACTTAAAAGCTCCCTACAATACCAGTAGAGATTGAGGACGTGCCATGACTGCCATGATCATGATAGGCGCCTGACAGCTGAGTGGACAATGCTTCGGATTCGTAGTCCTGAAGTTCTGGGTTCGATCCCCGGTGGAGGCGGAGACAAATGGGCAAAATGTTTCTTTCACCCTGATGCCCCTGTTACCTAGCAGTAAATAGGTACCAGGGAGCTGCTACAGGCTGCTTCCTGGGGGATGTGTAACAAAAAGGAGGCCTGGTTGAGGACCGAGCCGCGGGGACGCTAAGCCCCGAAATCATCTCAAGATAACCTCAAGATCATGTTGAATGAACTCTGAGGAATCTAACCTTTGTGAGGAGCCGAGTGTGATAGCTCAATAATACAGCATTAAACAAGTACACGTAAAGCACAATATATTTAAAATGGCTAATGAGAATATAGTGATGAAGGCATTGCTGATGACCATTCTGAAAAGCACTGGTCAATTTATCACAATGTCTTCTCTTCGTATCAGCCCCAAAACCAGCGAGTCCCGCAACTGAATGTAATGAAACAGACCATTTTCTGGGTGAGACCCAGAGGCTCCAGGAGCTTACTAGGCTGATATGCTAATGTCAGACTTCGGCATCAGTCATGTGTATGGAGTTCTGTGGGCCTACCGGGGATCACGAGCCAGAACCTGGCCCCCCTCAGAGAGGCATGGGGAGCACTGGGCTATAGGAACCCCTGTGTGGTTGGAAGCATTCTATGTCTGCCATTGATCGGATCAGGCACCCAGAAAGGTAAGCATCCCAAAACAAACCCCTATTCTGGTGAAATTATTGCTACCAAAAGCCGAACAAGTGGATAGAACTCCCCTAAAAGAAACAAGCAAACAATCATGACGTCACATGTCACCGCACCACGCTGCTGTCTGCGCAGCTCCCCCTCCCCGAGAGTGAGAAGGGGAGCCCCAGACCCCTCACGCTGGGTATCCATTCGTCAGTTCTGAGGCTGGATGTCAAAATACACGAAAAAAATGTAATGCCGACTGGGGGAAGGGAGGGATGCCAGGGAGCCTCTGGGTCTCACTCAGTAAATGGCGTTTCATTACATTCAACGCTGGTTTTCTGGGGGGAGCCCCTTTGGCTCCCCGGAGCTAACTACCCACAGAGGAAGAACATAGGGACTTACCCGGGAGGCGGTCGTTGCTCACTCAACACAAAGTAGAGACAACCGGCTGCAACTGTCGACCCAAAACGACACAGGCCCGATTAGGCCTAGGGACGTGCACGAGGTAACGAGCAGCCAGGAACCTGAATGACCGCCAAAAGCCCCGTGCTCGAATGTCAGCCCAGGACATGGTGTCAAAGACAGCAGCAAGCGCAGTGAACGCACAATCATCATGGGCACGGGGATAGACTGCAGGCTGGCTAGCCGTAAGAACTCTGCGGATGACCTGGAAGACCCAAACCTGCGAACAGGGAAGAAAGGGAAACCGGATCAACCCAAAGCACGTCCCCGGACACAGAGGCCGAGGCGCGCAAGTAACGGTGAAGAGCCGCCACCTTAATTCTAAACGTGATGCATCCCCGGCCCAACGAACCAAGAATCAACAACCCAAGGACTCCTCCGGAAAGCAGCAGTCTCAATCTTCACCAGAAAAGAAGGAACACGGCTGCAGACGAACAATACCATTACGAAGACCGAAAGAGCAGAAACTCCTGTGCCGGAGGAGAGCATGAAGCTCCCCAACCCGACCCCCAGAGGTCTATGCTAACAGAAAAGGAATCTTGGAGAACAAACCTGAACCAAAGAGGCCACAACAAACCGAGGAGAAGAAATTAAAGAGCACTCCATCCAATGACCAGGACGGCTCAGGCCGCGCAAGAGCAGGCCGGAGGTGAAACAATGCACGAAACAGCTTGCGAAATGGCGCAGAATTAACATCAAAACCGAAAGCAAACCGAAGTGGCGCCGCCATCGCCGCACGATACGAGGCGACAGTATGGAGCAAGATGACGGCCCCAAACCTCCACAAGAAAAGGACAAGGCCATGCCAACAAACGCAGCTACCGAAGAAGGGACAGAAGGAAAAAGAAGGACCGCCAAAAACCCCACACTGCCGCCAAGAAGAAGCACGCAGGTGGGACACCATCAACGAAGCCACCCGACCACCAACAGAAGGCGAGAGACTCGAGGTAGAACCGAACTGGTCCTGCCATGGGCCAATCGAGCCTAGGAAGAGGCAGAGCCGCGGGAAGATCTCGGGTGCGACCACGGAGCCAGCAAAGCCAGAAACCCAAGCCGGCAAAGGAGGAGATGGAACATCTGCCATACAGAAAACATCCCAACTCCTGCGAGCTCACCAGGAGATCGGAGACGACAGTCCCGACGCACGATCTAGAGAAGGGAAACCAAGAGACCGTGAAAATGCCAACAGGCTTAAGCCAAGAAACCAGAACCCAAACTTGGCAATAGGAGAGCCAAAAGGCACAAACGTGTAGGATAAAAAAGAAAACGAAAAGACCAGAAGAAAAGCCCCAGCACCAACGGCCAGGGACAAGAGTAGAAGGAGATGAACCGAAAGGCAAGGCAAAAGGAATGAAAGGGACACACCAACAACACACAGAGCTGCTAACAAACCATGCCAACAACACAGTTGTGTGACATGTCCCAAACAAGACGAAAAGGAAAAAAGGTGCAAAGTACGCCAACAGACCAGTACCCGAACCAAGGAGTACGAGCTACAAGGACATGATCACTACATCGAAGAATCCCAAAGGAAGCGATAAGGTAGAAAAAGACCGACTACAGGACCCCAGGGGCGCACGCACCAGGGGACACTGGTGAAATGAGAGCCCAAACGAGCCAAAGAGACATGGGAAAGAAGTATTGCAGTGTCAGAGTAGGAGACGAGCAGAACGCATGAGGAAGCGATGTGGTAGAGGACGACACCACACACAGCTTCAAGTGCAGATATGATAAGAGCCCAGCAGGCCCAGGAACCTGCACATGAGCGAACGACAGGTGAGAAGCAGGACCAAAAACCCAGAACCCAACTCCCACAACACAACTAGGAAAGTACAGCTAGGTAAGTACCGTAAAGATAATCCAATATACAGTATATGGAAGGTCTAAGCCAGGCACTGCAAGATGTGCAAGGAAAGAGTGACCCAGATAAGACCATAAAAGATGGAGCCATTGATCCCCTTTGCAACCATGAACCCAGCTGAACAAGTAAGGCCTCAGGAAGAAGCACAGAAGGACCAAACAAAAATCCACAACCAATCCCCAACACGCATCCACAGCATGAAAACTGCAGCAAAAGGTCACCTCAAAACATCCAGACAGGAACACTTACTCCATAACATATACACCCACCATTGTATCTCGTAACCTGGTGGAGGTAGGGCCCCTATCTGGACTCAAGCATGGGCTGGACATGCATAAGAGTGTGATGGGCTGGACATGCATAAGAGTGTGACAGGATGGTTACAAATAGGAGCTGCCTCGTATGGCCCATTAGGCCTGCTGCAGTCACCTATGTTCCGATGTTCGTATATTCGTATCCAAAAATCACTAACCAGTGCATGGCCAAAGAGAAGCCAGACCGCATAAACTCACCTGCAGAACGGAGGCACAAACGTGTCATGACACAACATAGCCGAGAAGATTCTGGGAGCACTGCCAGTGGAAGAAGGCAGAGGCGACGGAGAAGCCCCACACTCATACGCAGGGAAAACCCCGCCCCCGCCCCATAGCAGCAATCCAGAACACAACCAGGAGCTACCGGGCATGAACTGGAGAATGGAGAAGAGTAAGAGGTAAAGCACCCAAGAAAAAAGGGACGCAAAACACCAGTACACGTGCACACCGCCCGTATCAAAACAAACAACCGCAAGCGCAGCAGGGATTCCAGACGCGGGTCGCCAGAAGTCGCGAGCTGAAGAAAGAAACCACGAATGTGACTAGGAAAGAGACAAAACATTGTTGTTAACGACCGAATCCCATATGAGAGTACACAGGGCAGCCGCCAACCGTAGTCGAAAAGAGGAGGAAGGAGCGAAAAGAAACATAGCACAGCTTCCCTGTTGGGCTACAAAGGAGCCTATCCTTGTAGCCCAGTTGGGCAACAAGGAGCCCAATCTGGCAACCCTGTGCAGCACAGGACAGAGCACGCACTGCACAGAAAGAAAGAGACAAACACGAAAGAACGAAACAGGACCAAAAAACGAAAAGCTTTGAGAAGGACCAGCAAGCCCCAGAAAGTTGCGGAAGACGACAGACGGTCCAAGAATACGGGAAGAAACAAAACCTTCCCGATCCTTCCAGAACAAAGAAGCAAACGTGAAGCACGAAGGCACAGAAGACAAAGTCGCACCCGAGACCAAAAGTCATAAAGAACCCCGAGAAGAGGGAAACATGACTGTGAAGGCCCATCCCAAGATGAAGGGTGGAGAAACGTACCCACCAACAGGACAGACCCAATGGATCCAAGGGACGAGGAACCGATCCCAGGGAGGGGCCGACTCCCAAAAACATGTACGGAGAGGGGGGGAAGAAAAAAAAAAAACACTCCTCGTAACCGCAAGCCCTGCCCAGAGGGTAGAAAAACCCAGGCGGGGTCCAAACGTCAGCCCCTCACCAGCCCCGGGAACCCACAAGGCAGGTCCCGGGGCCGAGCCGTTCCCCCAAAGCCCCAGCCTCACAAGAAAAAGCCTGGGCAACCGGACAAGTACTAAGGAAGGGAGCCCACTGGCAGACTCATACAACACGGCTGGAGGAACAGGCTCGAATGCCTCCGTCGCTACCCCGGAAGGGGAAAAGCCCCACCGCCCGAGTCTCAAGACCAAAGCCCCGCCCCGACCCCGAACCCACAAACGGTAAGGATCCCATGCAGGGAGGAAGGGGGGGGGGGACCACAACAGGGGAAAGACAAGGGGGTGCAGAAGGAACAAAACCAAAGCATCCAACACCCCTAAGGCCTGTCACACCAACAAAAACGGGGCGGCCCCGGGGCTCCCGGAGAGCAAACGACCTAATGCGTTGCACCACTGAAAACTTGCAACGCCCGTGCTGCCTGCACCGGCATAATCAACATAAGACTGGGTAATCGAGCCACAAACAAGCAACAAACTCGCAGGGCTCCAGGTCGGTGCCGCCGCTGACCCCACAGAGAGCAAACGGAGGCAAAACAATGAGTCACCCTGAGACAAGGGGACAGAGCAACCCTCGAACTCGCACAAAGTGAGGGGGGATGGGGACTCCAGGGCCACATCTATCAAACCCACGTACCCCCTAGGAATTTCCCAGGGTCCCGAGCATTTACCCACAGGGACTCACGCCCAGGTAATCCCAGGCAGGGTACTGCTAACCGGCGCTCACAAATACCAACAACATTCTAAGAACTGAACCCCCGGGACGTGTACACTCACGGGGACCTAGCAGGGGAAACCACCGGAAGAGAAAAGAGTACTCAGTACACAGGGGAAAAGAACCAAGGCAGACCCCCCACCAGGCAAACAAACAAAAAGAAAAAGAAAACCCCGCAAGAGG